ATGGGATGGGATGGGATGGGATGGGATGGGATGGGATGGGACGGATGGGATGGCATGGGATGGGATGGGATGGGATGAGATAAGATGGGATGGGATGGATGGGATGGGATGGGATGGATGGGATAGGATGGATGGGATGGGATGGGATGGGATGGGATGGGATGGGATGGGATGGGATGGAAGGGATGGGATGGGATGGGATGGGATGGGATGGGATGGGATGGGATGGGATGGGATGAGATGGGATGGGATGGGATAGGATGGGATGGGATGGGATGTGATGGGATGGGATGGGATGGGATGGGATGGGATGGGATGGGATGGGATGGGATGGGATAGGATGGGATGGGATGGGATGGGATAAGATGGGATGGGATGGGATGGGATGGGATGGGATGGGATGGGATGGGATGGATGGGATGGGATGGGATAGATGGGATGGGATGGATAGGATGGGAGGGATGGGAGGGATGGGATGGCATGGGATGGGATGGGATGGCATGGGATGGGATGGGATGGGATGGGATGGGATGGGATGGGATGGGATGGGATGGGATGGATGGGATGGGATGGGATAGATGGGATGGGATGGATAGGATGGGAGGGATGGGAGGGATGGGATGGCATGGGATGGGATGGGATGGCATGGCATGGGATGGGATGGGATGGGATGGGATGGGATGGGATGAGATGGGATGGGATGGGATGGGATGGGATGGGATGGGATGGGATGGGATGGGATGGGATGGGATGGGACGGATGGGATGGCATGGGATGGGATGGGATGGGATGAGATAAGATGGGATGGGATGGATGGGATGGGATGGGATGGATGGGATAGGATGGATGGGATGGGATGGGATGGGATGGGATGGGATGGGATGGGATGGGATGGGATGGGATGGGATGGAAGGGATGGGATGGGATGGGATGGGATGGGATGGGATGGGATGGGATGGGATGGGATGGGATTGGATGGGATGGGATGGGATGGGATGGGATGGGATGGGATGGGATGGGATGGGATTGGATGGGATGGGATGGGAATGGTCGCACAGCATAAGCTACGACTCCCCATCACCACTCACAGCTCCCATCACCACTCACAGCTCCCATCACCACTCACAGCTCCCATCACCACTCACAACTCCCTCAGCTGCTTAAGGCTGCTGACTGCCGCTGGAATGGAGCCTGAGAGATTGTTTTGGACGAGCTTCCTGAAGCATGGCGATGGTTGGGCGTGGGCAGAGAGGGGAAGGGGAGGCACTGAATGCAGTGACGTGCAAGGTATGCAAGGAGGGAGTTCATGATTAAGAGGAGTGAATGGAAAGTGGGCTGCTGAACTTGAGCAGTGCAGAGTTCTTACGTTCACCACTTCACCAAAGTGGATTCAAGAAGCGCTTATGCCTGGATCCAAGCGTTCTTGTCTGAGGCGCCTCAGTCGTCTGTTGAGGCGCCCTCAAAAGTGTTCTCCACTTATATAAAAATGGATTCAAGAAGTGCTTATGCTTGCATCCAAGCATTCTCCTGCAACATGGTGTCTTATGACACTGGGAAGTTCACAGGTGACCACTTCACAGTGCGAGGTTCACAGGTGACTGGAAAGCATGTAATGTTGTGGTAATTTCCTGCCGATACCTTAGAGATGGGAAGCTTAGGGCGTAGGAGAACGGCAGAGAGGTAGGTGGAGGGAGAATAGGCGCACAGGGTGGTGAGTGCGGAGAGGTTGCCTATGGAGGCCGGAATGGTGCCACTCAGACCGTTGCCTTCCAGCCATCTGCCATGTCGTCGCATGGGATGGCATGGGATGGCATGAAAGCCGTGGGATGGCATGGGATGGCATGAATTGGCATGGGACTGAAGCTGAGTGAGTACAGCATGTGTGGCATCTCAAGTAAAAACAGGTGGATCCAAAGCACTGAGTAGTCAAAACAATGAGCCATGTCGCTGGAAAAGCTCCAAAGGAATGAAATTAGGAATGCTTGCACACAAAATCCATTGCAAAGGCACATGAAACTTGTGAAAAAGGACAAGAAACAGTACCAACACAGTCCTTCTCAAGATTCACGGTGTGCAATGCTTTTTGAGTCCGGTTGACCTATAAGGTGAGTTGTGAAATCGAGCAACAATTGTTTGCAGGTATCATAATGCACAAATATTGCAACTTCAATCCAAAGCAAGGCATGTCAGCAGATGCACACATGAACCAGTTTGAAATCGGTTGCTTTATTTCGGGCAGCGTTTGTCCTTACATGAGTTCCAGGTTGGTGAGAGCTCCGATTGACTCAGGTATGGGCCCTGAGAGCATTTGCTCCCCAAGGCATCTGCGACCACATGCGGCACAGTGCGGTGAAGTGTGGTACAGAGAGGAACGGTGACGTGGAACGGTGGAGGTTGGGTGCGGGAAGGTTGGGGGAAGGTTGATAGCACATGGCCTCGCATGCATTGGCAGTGCTTGCAGCACCAGCAGTGCATGTGTCAGCAGTGCATGTGTCAGCAGTGCATGTGTCAGCAGTGCATGTGTCAGCAGTGCATGTGTCAGCAGTGCATGTGTCAGCAGTGCATCCAGTGCATGTATCACCAGTGCATGTGTCAGCAGTGCATGTGTCAGCAGTGCATGTATCACCAGTGCATGTGTCAGCAGTGCATGTGTCAGCAGTGCATCCAGTGCATGTATCACCAGTGCATGTGTCAGCAGTGCATGTGTCAGCAGTGCATGTGTCAGCAGTGCATGTGTCAGCAGTGCATGTGTCAGCAGTGCATATATCAGCAGTGCATCCAGTGCATGTATCACCAGTGCATGTGTCTGCACTCAGTCATTCAGCCACTCATCCACACAAGCACTCCTATCAGGCTATCACACCTGGTCATCCCACAGCACCTTGCATTCCGGCCCCATCACCACTCACAACTCCCCATCACCACTCACAACTCCCGTAGCTGCTTGAGGTTGCTAATTGCGTCTGGAATGGAGCCTGAAAAGCTGTTTCCAGAAATAGTCCTTGTATATGGAGAGGGTGGGTAGATAGAAGCAGGGAGCAGGGCGGGGCAGAGAGGGTGGGTAGAAGCAGGGATCAAGGCGGGGCAGAGAGGGTGGGTAGACGCAGGGAGCAAGGCAGGGCAGAGAGGGTGGGTAGACGCAGGGAGCAAGGCAGGGCAGAGAGGGTGGGTAGACGCAGGGAGCAAGGCAGGGCAGAGAGGGTGGGTAGACGCAGGGAGCAAGGCGGGGCAGAGAGGGTGGGTAGACGCAGGGAGCAAGGCGGGGCAGAGAGGGTGGGGGAACCATTGGAGAAAGAAGGCCGGGCGGGAAGGCATGGGTAAGAGAATGGAAGGGGGTAGATGGAAAGGGTTTGGGAGGAGTGCGGTTTTGTGAACTTTGAGTTGTATGCTACTTCAAAAATCAGAGCGTCCTGAAGCGAACCAATGTGGTATAATGGACTACATCAAAATTCCAAAGAAGGTAGGAAATTTAGGAGTAAGGTGACAAGGGCACGGATTTAATGGAAAATGGTGTTCGATTGGGCGTTGTGCATGGCATGGCAGGGCATGGGAGATGGTGCATGGCAGCACGCACAATGAAGTCAAGTCTGTGAGGCTGAAGATCCACCCAGGCAGCTTCCCAGACAGTTGATGATGGTTGGCCACGTGCCTGATGATGCGAGCAGCCAAGAGAGAGGGAGCCGTCAAGAGAGAGGGAGCCGTGAAGAGAGAGGGAGCCGTCAAGAGGGGAGGAGCAGTAAAGAGGCAAGGAGCAGCCAAGAAATAGGGAAGTTGTGGGGAAGGGGGTAGGATGGCCAAGGTGGAAATGAATGAAGAGCGAGGAGTACAAAGGAGGGGAGGAAGCATGGCAAGAGGGGGGAGCATGGTAAGAGGGGGGAGCATGGCAAGAGTGGGGAGCATGGTAAGAGGGGGGAGCATGGCAAGAGGGGGGAGCATGGCAAGAGTGGGGAGCATGGTAAGAGGGGGGAGCATGGCAAGAGGGGGGAGCATGGTAAGAGGGGGGAGCATGGCAAGAGGGGGGAGCATGGCAAGAGGGGGGAGCATGGCAAGAGGGGGAGCATGGCAAGAGGGGGGAGCATGGCAAGAGGGGGGAGCATGGCAAGAGGGGGGAGCATGGCAAGAGGGGGGAGCATGGCAAGAGGGGGGAGCATGGCAAGAGGGGGGAGCATGGCAAGAGGGGGGAGCATGGCAAGAGGGGGGAGCATGGCAAGAGGGGGGAGCATGGCAAGAGGGGGGAGCATGGCAAGAGGGGGGAGCATGGCAAGAGGGGGGAGCATGGCAAGAGGGGGGAGCATGGCAAGAGGGGGGAGCATGGCAAGAGGGGGGAGCATGGCAAGAGGGGGGAGCATGGCAAGAGGGGGGAGCATGGCAAGAGGGGGGAGCATGGCAAGAGGGGGGAGCATGGCAAGAGGGGGGAGCATGGCAAGAGGGGGGAGCATGGCAAGAGGGGGGAGCATGGCAAGAGGGGGGAGCATGGCAAGAGGGGGGAGCATGGCAAGAGGGGGGAGCATGGCAAGAGGGGGGAGCATGGCAAGAGGGGGGAGCATGGGGGGAGGGGGGAGCATGGCAAGAGGGGGGAGCATGGCAAGAGGGGGGAGCATGGCAAGAGGGGGGAGCATGGCAAGAGGGGGGAGCATGGCAAGAGGGGGGAGCATGGCAAGAGGGGGGAGCATGGCAAGAGGGGGGAGCATGGCAAGAGGGGGGAGCATGGCAAGAGGGGGGAGCATGGCAAGAGGGGGGAGCATGGCAAGAGGGGGGAGCATGGCAAGAGGGGGGAGCATGGCAAGAGGGGGGAGCATGGCAAGAGGGGGGAGCATGGCAAGAGGGGGGAGCATGGCAAGAGGGGGGAGCATGGCAAGAGGGGGGAGCATGGCAAGAGGGGGGAGCATGGCAAGAGGGGGGAGCATGGCAAGAGGGGGGAGCATGGCAAGAGGGGGGAGCATGGCAAGAGGGGGGAGCATGGCAAGAGGGGGGAGCATGGCAAGAGGGGGGAGCATGGCAAGAGGGGGGAGCATGGCAAGAGGGGGGAGCATGGCAAGAGGGGGGAGCATGGCAAGAGGGGGGAGCATGGCAAGAGGGGGGAGCATGGCAAGAGGGGGGAGCATGGCAAGAGGGGGGAGCATGGCAAGAGGGGGGAGCATGGCAAGAGGGGGGAGCATGGCAAGAGGGGGGAGCATGGCAAGAGGGGGGAGCATGGCAAGAGGGGGAGACATGGCAAGAGGGGGGAGCATGGCAAGAGGGGGGAGCATGGCAAGAGGGGGGGAGCATGGCAAGGAGGGGGGAGCATGGCAAGAGGGCGGGAGCATGGCAAGAGGGGGAGCATGGCAAGAGGGGGGAGCATGGCAAGAGGGGGGAGCATGGCAAGAGGGGCGGAGCCTGCAAGAGGGGGAGCATGGCAAGAGGGGGAGCATGGCAAGAGGGGGGAGCATGGCAAGAGGGGGAGCATGGCAAGAGGGGGGAGCATGGCAAGAGGGGGGAGCATGGCAAGAGGGGGGAGCATGGCAAGAGGGGGGAGCATGGCAAGAGGGGGAGCATGGCAAGAGGGGGGAGCATGGCAAGAGGGGGAGCATGGCAAGAGGGGGGAGCATGGCAAGAGGGGGGAGCATGGCAAGAGGGGGGAGCATGGCAAGAGGGGGGAGCATGGCAAGAGGGGGGAGCATGGCAAGAGGGGGGAGCATGGCAAGAGGGGGGAGCATGGCAAGAGGGGGGAGCATGGCAAGAGGGGGGAGCATGGCAAGAGGGGGGAGCATGGCAAGAGGGGGGAGCATGGCAAGAGGGGGGAGCATGGCAAGAGGGGGGAGCATGGCAAGAGGGGGGAGCATGGCAAGAGGGGGGAGCATGGCAAGAGGGGGGAGCATGGCAAGAGGGGGGAGCATGGCAAGAGGGGGGAGCATGGCAAGAGGGGGGAGCATGGCAAGAGGGGGGAGCATGGCAAGAGGGGGGAGCATGGCAAGAGGGGGGAGCATGGCAAGAGGGGGGAGCATGGCAAGAGGGGGGAGCATGGCAAGAGGGGGGAGCATGGCAAGAGGGGGGAGCATGGCAAGAGGGGGGAGCATGGCAAGAGGGGGGAGCATGGCAAGAGGGGGGAGCATGGCAAGAGGGGGGAGCATGGCAAGAGGGGGGGGAGCATGGCAAGAGGGGGGAGCATGGCAAGAGGGGGGAGGGGGAGCACTGGCAAGAGGGGGGCAGCATGGCAAGAGGGGGGAGCATGGCAACGAGGGGGGAGCATGGCAAGAGGGGGGAGCATGGCAAGAGGGGGGAGCATGGCAAGAGGGGGGAGCAGGCAAGAGGGGGAGCATGGCAAGAGGGGGGGAGCATGGCAAGAGGGGGGAGCATGGCAAGAGGGGGGAGCATGGCAAGAGGGGGGAGCATGGCAAGAGGGGGGGAGCCATGGCAAGAGGGGGGAGCTGGCAAGAGGGGGAGCATGGCAAGAGGGGGGAGCATGGCAAGAGGGGGGGAGCATGGCAAGAGGGGGGAGCATGGCAAGAGGGGGGGAGCATGGCAAGAGGGGGAGCATGGCAAGAGGTGGGAGCATGGCAAGAGGGGGGAGCATGGCAAGAGGGGGAGCATGGCAAGAGGGGGGAGCATGGCAAGAGGGGGGAGCATGGCAAGAGGGGGGAGCATGGCAAGAGGGGGGAGCATGGCAAGAGGGGGGAGCATGGCAAGAGGGGGGAGCATGGCAAGAGGGGGGAGCATGGCAAGAGGGGGGAGCATGGCAAGAGGGGGGAGCATGGCAAGAGGGGGGAGCATGGCAAGAGGGGGGAGCATGGCAAGAGGGGGGAGCATGGCAAGAGGGGGGAGCATGGCAAGAGGGGGGAGCATGGCAAGAGGGGGGAGCATGGCAAGAGGGGGGAGCATGGCAAGAGGGGGGGAGCATGGCAAGAGGGGGGAGCATGGCAAGAGGGGGGAGCATGGCAAGAGGGGGGAGCATGGCAAGAGGGGGGAGCATGGCAAGAGGGGGAGCATGGCAAGAGGGGGGAGCATGGCAAGAGGGGGGAGCATGGCAAGAGGGGGGAGCATGGCAAGAGGGGGGAGCATGGCAAGAGGGGGGAGCATGGCAAGAGGGGGGAGCATGGCAAGAGGGGGGAGCATGGCAAGAGGGGGGAGCATGGCAAGAGGGGGGAGCATGGCAAGAGGGGGGAGCATGGCAAGAGGGGGGAGCATGGCAAGAGGGGGGAGCATGGCAAGAGGGGGGAGCATGGCAAGAGGGGGGAGCATGGCAAGAGGGGGGAGCATGGCAAGAGGGGGGAGCATGGCAAGAGGGGGGAGCATGGCAAGAGGGGGGAGCATGGCAAGAGGGGGGAGCATGGCAAGAGGGGGGAGCATGGCAAGAGGGGGGAGCATGGCAAGAGGGGGGAGCATGGCAAGAGGGGGGAGCATGGCAAGAGGGGGGAGCATGGCAAGAGGGGGGAGCATGGCAAGAGGGGGGGAGCATGGCAAGAGGGGGGAGCATGGCAAGAGGGGGGAGCATGGCAAGAGGGGGGAGCATGGCAAGAGGGGGGAGCATGGCAAGAGGGGGGAGCATGGCAAGAGGGGGGAGCATGGCAAGAGGGGGAGCATGGCAAGAGGGGGGAGCATGGCAAGAGGGGGGAGCATGGCAAGAGGGGGGAGCATGGCAAGAGGGGGGAGCATGGCAAGAGGGGGGAGCATGGCAAGAGGGGGGAGCATGGCAAGAGGAGATGGGGGGGAGCATGGCAAGAGGGGGGAGCATGGCAAGAGGGGGGAGCATGGCAAGAGGGGGGAGCATGGCAAGAGGGGGGAGCATGGCAAGAGGGGGGAGCATGGCAAGAGGGGGGAGCATGGCAAGAGGGGGGAGCATGGCAAGAGGGGGGAGCATGGCAAGGGGGGGAGCATGGCAAGAGGGGGGAGCATGGCAAGAGGGGGGAGCATGGCAAGAGGGGGGAGCATGGCAAGAGGGGGGGAGCATGGCAAGAGGGGGGAGCATGGCAAGAGGGGGGAGCATGGCAAGAGGGGGGAGCATGGCAAGAGGGGGGAGCATGGCAAGAGGGGGGAGCATGGCAAGAGGGGGGAGCATGGCAAGAGGGGGGAGCATGGCAAAGAGGGGGGAGCATGGCAAGAGGGGGGAGCATGGCAAGAGGGGGGAGCATGGCAAGAGGGGGGAGCATGGCAAGAGGGGGGAGCATGGCAAGAGGGGGGAGCATGGCAAGAGGGGGGAGCATGGCAAGAGGGGGAGCATGGCAATGAGGGGGGAGCATGGCAAAGAGGGGGGAGCATGGCAAGAGGGGGGAGCATGGCAAGAGGGGGGAGCATGGCAAGAGGGGGGAGCATGGCAAGAGGGGGGAGCATGGCAAGAGGGGGGAGCATGGCAAGAGGGGGAGCATGGCAAGAGGGGGGAGCATGGCAAGAGGGGGAGCATGGCAAGAGGGGGGAGCATGGCAAGAGGGGGGAGCATGGCAAGAGGGGGAGCATGGCAAGAGGGGGGAGCATGGCAAGAGGGGGGAGCATGGCAAGAGGGGGGAGCATGGCAAGAGGGGGGAGCATGGCAAGAGGGGGAGCATGGCAAGAGGGGGGAGCATGGCAAGAGGGGGGAGCATGGCAAGAGGGGGGAGCATGGCAAGAGGGGGGAGCATGGCAAGAGGGGGGAGCCATGGCAAGAGGGGGAGCATCGGCAAGAGGGGGGAGCATGGCAAGAGGGGGGAGCATGGCAAGAGGGGGAGCATGGCAAGAGGGGGGAGCATGGCAAGAGGGGGGAGCATGGCAAGAGGGGGGAGCATGGCAAGAGGGGGGAGCATGGCAAGAGGGGGGAGCATGGCAAGAGGGGGGAGCATGGCAAGAGGGGGGAGCATGGCAAGAGGGGGGAGCATGGCAAGAGGGGGGAGCATGGCAAGAGGGGGGAGCATGGCAAGAGGGGGGAGCATGGCAAGAGGGGGAGCATGGCAAGAGGGGGCTGCATGGCAAGAGGGGGGAGCATGGCAAGAGGGGGGAGCATGGCAAGAGGGGGGGAGCATGGCAAGAGGGGGGAGCATGGCAAGAGGGGGAGCATGGCAAGAGGGGGGAGCATGGCAAGAGGGGGGAGCATGGCAAGAGGGGGGAGCATGGCAAGAGGGGGGAGCATGGCAAGAGGGGGGAGCATGGCAAGAGGGGGGAGCATGGCAAGAGGGGGGAGCATGGCAAGAGGGGGGAGCATGGCAAGAGGGGGGAGCATGGCAAGAGGGGGGAGCATGGCAAGAGGGGGGAGCATGGCAAGAGGGGGGAGCATGGCAAGAGGGGGGAGCATGGCAAGAGGGGGGAGCATGGCAAGAGGGGGGAGCATGGCAAGAGGGGGGAGCATGGCAAGAGGGGGGAGCATGGCAAGAGGGGGGAGCATGGCAAGAGGGGGAGCATGGCAAGAGGGGGGAGCATGGCAAGAGGGGGGAGCATGGCAAGAGGGGGGGAGCATGTGGCAAGGGGGGGAGCATGGCAAGAGGGGGGAGCATGGCAAGAGGGGGGAGCATGGCAAGAGGGGGAGCATGGCAAGAGGGGGGGAGCATGGCAAGAGGGGGGAGCATCGGCAAGAGGGGGAGCATGGCAAGAGGGGGAGCATGGCAAGAGGGGGAGCATGGCAAGAGGGGGGAGCATGGCAAGAGGGGGGAGCATGGCAAGAGGGGGGAGCATGCAAGAGGGGGGAGCATGGCAAGAGGGGGAGCATGGCAAGAGGGGGGGAGCATGGCAGAGGGGGGAGCATGGCAAGATGGGGAGCATGGCAAGAGGGGGAGCATGGCAAGAGGGGGGAGCATGGCAAGAGGGGGGAGCATGGCAAGAGGGCGGGAGCATGGCAAGAGGGGGGGAGCATGGCAAGAGGGGGGAGCATGGCAAGAGGGGGGAGCATGGCAAGGAGGGTGGGAGCATGCTAAGAGGGGGGGGAGCATGGCAAGAGGGGGGAGCATGGCAAGAGGGGGAGGCCATGGCAAGAGGGGGAGCATGGCAAGAGGGGGGAGCATGGCAAGGAGGGGGAGCATGGCAAGAGGGGGGAGCATGGCAAGAGGGGGGGAGCATGGCAAGAGGGGGGAGCATGGCAAGAGGGGGGAGCATGGCAAGAGGGGGAGCATGGCAAGAGGGGGGAGCATGGCAAGAGGGGGGGAGCATGGCAAGAGGGGGAGCATGGCAAGAGGGAGGAGCATGGCAAGAGGGGGGAGCATGCAAGAGGGGGAGCATGGCAAGAGGGGGGAGCATGGCAAGAGGGGGAGCATGGCAAGAGGGGGGAGCATGCAAGAGGGGGGAGCATGGCAAGAGGGGGGAGCATGGCAAGAGGGGGGAGCATGGCAAGAGGGGGGAGCATGGCAAGAGGGGGGAGCATGGCAAGAGGGGGAGCATGGCAAGAGGGGGGAGCATGGCAAGAGGGGGGAGCATGGCAAGGAGGGGGGGAGCATGGGCAAGAGGGGGGAGCATGGCAAGAGGGGGGAGCATGGCAATGAGGGGGGAGCATGGCAAGAGGGGGGAGCATGGCAAGAGGGGGGAGCATGGCAAGAGGGGGAGCATGGCAAGAGGGGGGAGCATGGCAAGAGGGGGGAGCATGGCAAGAGGGGGAGCATGGCAAGAGGGGGAGCATGGCAAGAGGGGGAGCATGGCAAGAGGGGGAGCATGGCAAGAGGGGGGAGCATGGCAAGAGGGGGGAGCATGGCAAGAGGGGGGAGCATGGCAAGAGGGGGGAGCATGGCAAGAGGGGGGAGCATGGCAAGAGGGGGGAGCATGGCAAGAGGGGGAGCATGGCAAGAGGGGGGGAGCATGCAAGAGGGGGAGCATGGCAAGAGGGGGGAGCATGGCAAGAGGGGGGAGCATGGCAAGAGGGGGAGCATGGCAAGAGGGGGAGCATGGCAAGAGGGGGGAGCATGGCAAGAGGGGGGAGCATGGCAAGAGGGGGGAGCATGGCAAGAGGGGGGAGCATGGCAAGAGGGGGGAGCATGGCAAGAGGGGGGAGCATGGCAAGAGGGGGGAGCATGGCAAGAGGGGGGAGCATGGCAAGAGGGGGGAGCATGGCAAGAGGGGGGAGCATGGCAAGAGGGGGGAGCATGGCAAGAGGGGGGAGCATGGCAAGAGGGGGGGAGCATGGCAAGAGGGGGGGAGAGCATGGCAAGAGGGGGGAGCATGGCAAGAGGGGGAGCATGCAAGGGGAGCATGGCAAGAGGGGGGAGCATGGCAAGAGGGGGGAGCATGGCAAGAGGGGGGAGCATGGCAAGAGGGGGAGCATGGCAAGAGGGGGGAGCATGGCAAGAGGGGGGAGCATGGCAAGAGGGGGGAGCATGGCAAGAGGGGGGAGCATGGCAAGAGGGGGGAGCATGGCAAGAGGGGGGAGCATGGCAAGAGGGGGGAGCATGGCAAGAGGGGGGAGCATGGCAAGAGGGGGGAGCATGGCAAGAGGGGGGAGCATGGCAAGAGGGGGGAGCATGGCAAGAGGGGGGAGCATGGCAAGAGGGGGGAGCATGGCAAGAGGGGGGAGCATGGCAAGAGGGGGGAGCATGGCAAGAGGGGGGAGCATGGCAAGAGGGGGGAGCATGGCAAGAGGGGGGAGCATGGCAAGAGGGGGAGCATGGCAAGAGGGGGAGCATGGCAAGATGGGGGGAGGCATGGCAAGAGGGGGGAGCATGGCAAGAGGGGGGAGCATGGCAAGAGGGGGGAGCATGGCAAGAGGGGGGAGCATGGCAAGAGGGGGGAGCATGGCAAGAGGGGGAGCATGGCAAGAGGGGGGAGCATGGCAAGAGGGGGGGAGCATGGCAAGAGGGGGGAGCATGGCAAGAGGGGGGAGCATGGCAAGAGGGGGGAGCATGGCAAGAGGGGGAGCATGGCAAGAGGGGGGAGCATGGCAAGAGGGGGGAGCATGGCAAGAGGGGGGAGCATGGCAAGAGGGGGAGCATGGCAAGAGGGGGGAGCATGGCAAGAGGGGGGAGCATGGCAAGAGGGGGGAGCATGGCAAGAGGGGGAGCATGGCAAGAGGGGGGAGCATGGCAAGAGGGGGGAGCATGGCAAGAGGGGGGAGCATGGCAAGAGGGGGGAGCATGGCAAGAGGGGGGAGCATGGCAAGAGGGGGGAGCATGGCAAGAGGGGGGAGCATGGCAAGAGGGGGAGCATGGCAAGAGGGGGAGCATGGCAAGAGGGGGAGCATGGCAAGAGGGGGGAGCATGCAAGAGGGGGGAGCATGGCAAGAGGGGGGAGCATGGCAAGAGGGGGGAGCATGGCAAGAGGGGGGAGCATGGCAAGAGGGGGGAGCATGGCAAGAGGGGGGAGCATGGCAAGAGGGGGGAGCATGGCAAGAGGGGGAGCATGGCAAGAGGGGGCATGCAGGAGCATGCAAGAGGGGGGAGCATGGCAAGAGGGGGGAGCATGGCAAGAGGGGGGAGCATGGCAAGAGGGGGAGCATGGCAAGAGGGGGGAGCATGGCAAGAGGGCGGGAGCATGGCAAGAGGGGGGAGCATGGCAAGAGGGGGGAGCATGGCAAGAGGGGGGAGCATGGCAAGAGGGGGAGCATGGCAAGAGGGGGAGCATGGCAAGAGGGGGGAGCATGGCAAGAGGGGGGAGCATGGCAAGAGGGGGGAGCATGGCAAGAGGGGGGAGCATGGCAAGAGGGGGGAGCATGGCAAGAGGGGGGAGCATGGCAAGAGGGGGAGCATGGCAAGAGGGGGGAGCATGGCAAGAGGGGGGAGCATGGCAAGAGGGGGGAGCATGGCAAGAGGGGGGAGCATGGCAAGAGGGGGGAGCATGGCAAGAGGGGGGAGCATGGCAAGAGGGGGGAGCATGGCAAGAGGGGGGAGCATGGCAAGAGGGGGAGCATGGCAAGAGGGGGGAGCATGGCAAGAGGGGGAGCATGGCAAGAGGGGGGAGCATGGCAAGAGGGGGGAGCATGGCAAGAGGGGGGAGCATGGCAAGAGGGGGGAGCATGGCAAGAGGGGGGAGCATGGCAAGAGAAAGAAAGGAGCATGTGTATCTTCCTTCCATGCTGCAAGCTGTACACAACACTTCACCTTCAGGCTTCGCACATCAAGATGGGGTACCATCACCTGCCATCCCATGCCATCACGTGCCATTTGATGCCATCACATGCCATCACATGCCGTCACATGCCATCACATGCCATCACATGCCATCACATGCCATCACATGCCATCACATGCCATCCTGCCATCACATGCCATCCTGCCATCACATGCCATCGTGCCATCACATGCCATCCTGCCATCACATGCCATCCTGCCATCACATGCCATCCTGCCATCACATGCCATCCTGCCATCACATGCCATCCTGCCATCACATGCCATCCTGCCATCACGTGCCCCTCACCCAGCCTTACAAAGACTGCAGGTTGTGCAGCTGGGAGAGCTCGTCTGGTAGCGAGGGGAGTAGAAGGGCTTTGGACAAATGCCTGAATGCACCATGCATGCACCATACAACCAACCATGCATAAACCATCTATGCACCATCCATTATGCATGCATCATCCATGCGCCATGTATGCACCATGCATGCACCATGCATGCAGCTTCCATGCACCATCCATGCATCATCCATGCACCATCCATGCATGCACCATCCATGCACCATGAATGTGGAGGGTTTAGCAACATCAGTGGGCGCTGCAGGGCAGAGAGGTCTGTTGACCAGAGGCTGAAGGAAAGAAACGAGTGGCAGGAGATAGAATGGAGTAGGGAGCTGCACGCAGTGCAGGTGGGAGCAAAGAGTTCATGGCAATGGGGTGTGAGAGGAAAGATGGGGTGTGAGGGGAAAGATGGGGTGTGAGGGGAAAGATGGGGTGTGAGGGGGAAGATGGGGTGTGACGGGTCATATGGGATATGAGGGGTAACATGAGATATGAGGGGTGACATGGGATATGAGGGATGACATGGGATATGAGGGGTGACATGGGATATGAGGGGTGACATGGGACATGAGGGATGACATGGGATATGAGGGGTGACATGGGATATGAGGGGTGACATGGGATATGAGGGGTGACATGGGATATGAGGGGTGACATGGGACATGAGGGATGACATGGGATATGAGGGGTGACATGGGATATGACGGGTGACATGGGATATGAGGGGTGACATGGGATATGAGGGGTGACATGGGATATGAGGGGTGACATGGGATATGAGGGGTGACATGGGATATGAGGGGTGACATGGGATATGAGGGGTGACATGGGATATGAGGGGTGACATGGGATATGAGGGGTGACATGGGATATGAGGGGTGACATGGGATATGAGGGGTGACATGGGATATGAGGGGTGACATGGGATATGAGGGATGACATGGGATATGAGGGGTGACATGGGATATGAGGGGTGACATGGGATATGAGGGGTGAAATGGGATATGAGGGGTGACATGGGATATGAGGGGTGACATGGGATATGAGGGGTGACATGGGACATGAGGGGTGACATGGGAACCCTACACAACCTAGAGTGAAATAAGCAGAACAATATGTTTTGACAGAATCTCGCACTCACGAGCCTTCCAGATTCTTTCAGCCTACTCACATCCCTGGAGACCCTGTTCATACTCGACTGCGAGGGGTTTCAGCAGCTGCCAGCAGGGTTCGGCAGCCTCACAGCCCTCACCACTCTCTGCCTCGTGAGGCTGCAGCAGCTAATCCTTCCAACCTCATCACCTCGCTTCCTCCCAACTTTGTGCGGCTGGCTGGATTGAGGCGGTTTATCTTGGATGGGTGTTGGCGGCTTAGGGCGCTACCATGGGACATGGCTGAGTTGAAGATGCTGCGGTATCTGGGTGTTAAGGGGTGCAGGCAGTTGCTGGATCGTGATGGCTATGTAGAGCCTCGTAGCATATATAAGAATAACTCAATGCTTCGAGTAGGCCTTTAATGTACTGTATCACGATGATTCACCATCATTGAGGGGGTTGGCTATATAAAAAGCACGTTACCGGTATGAGCACACAGACAAGATATGCTGGCATGCTGCCGCCAAGTCTTCCTGCTCATGTGTAGCCTGTGTGCAGTGCAGCTCCCGCTTTAGGCTCTTCAAATCCAGCAATGGCAGGTTCTGATCTGGTACTATACTAACGCAATGAATGTGGAGTGTGGTGGGCTGGTCATAGTTAGGAGCTGGGATGATCATGTCCATTTACCGTAGACAAGTTTTTAGTAAGCAACACCAGTGCCATGCCAACCTTAGGTCATAGTATAGTAGGGTATGATGCTCCAGCGTGTGGATCTTACAGCTACTGTACGGTGTAGGCAGCAGCACGACTTTGTGACGTCACACCATCCAAAGAAGCGGGAAGGGTTTTGCATAAAAAGAGAAACCTAAAATTAACAAAGCTATGCAAATGAGGTACGGTACTGGAAGTGCTACCGTGCATCAGTTCCCAAACACTCAACGATGGAGTTAGACAGCGGTGCCCTGTGCCTTGGCGGTGATTTGGTTCTGGATGTTGGTGGGCACGATGTCAAACTGTGCGAGCTGCATAGTGTAGTTGGCTCGCCCCTTGGTCATGCCACGCAGGTTGGACACGTAGTTGAACATCTCCGATAGGGGCACCAGTGCATCCACCACCTGGTGCAGGGAGAGGGAAAGGACGGGGGTTGGGATGCAGGGTTTAAGACGTGTGCCCCTTGGTCATGCCGCGCAGGTTGGACACGTAGTTGAACATCTCAGACAAGGGCACCAGCGCATCCACCACCTGGTGGGAGGGGGGGTGAGAGAAGGGGGCAAGAAAAACAGGGGAATGATGGATGATGAGCAGGAGGGAGAAGGTTTGACCTGTAGTTGAGCATCTCCTATAGTTGAACATCCACCACTGTTGAGGGGAGGTGAGAAGAGGGTAGAGACCAGGGGGAATGATGGACAAAACCGGGGGTGGGTGAGCAAGGTTGGGCACGTAGTTGAGCATCTCTGACAGCGGCAAGAGAAGGGGGAAATGACAGATGGTGGGGAACAACTGGAACATCTGGGAGTGATGGCCTGGGGCGCCAATGACCTGGTTCCTATGTTAACTTCTCTGCCACAGCTTCCATAGGGAATGTACCCACCCTTGCTCCATCCCTTACATGCTATTTCCCTCCGCCCGCCCGCTCGTAACCAACTCTCCTTCCTCTCACTTGCACCCGGTGCTGTAACCCCTGCTGCTTCTACCTCCTCCCTTCACTTTGTGCTGGTCCAGACATCTCCGTAGCATGAGTGGCGCATTCTTTGGTGTCACCACCTCCCACATTCAACACCGGCCTCATCCCCTGCTCCTAATCTCACCTTCATGCCACCCGGCTTGTCACCAAAGCTGTTGATCTGCCCACGGCGCGAGTTGAGGTCACCGATGACGTCACCCATGTGGTCCTCGGGCGTGATCACCTCCACCTTCATCACCGGCTCCAGCAGCCGCGGCGACGCCTTGCCCATGCCTTCCTTGAACGCGCCGCGCGCTGCCAGCTGGAACGCCAGCACACTGGAATCCACCTCGTGGTACGAGCCCTCTGGTGGAGGTACAGGGAGGAGGGGCGAGTGTGCAAGGAGAATCTGGGTTGAAGGAGGAGGGATAAAGGTAATCGGAAAACGTGGAGGGATGTGAGAGAAATGAGGGTGGTGGGAAAGTGGAGGGTTGGGGGAGGGGTGAGTGATGGGCGGATGGGGCAGCTTGGAGCAGTTTGGGGCAGGGAGGGGCAGGGAATGGTGTGGGAGGGAAGCGGGAGGGAAGCTAGAGAGTTAACCCCAAGATGTACTTATTAACGAGAATGGCGAACCCTCCACGTACCAAGAAGCGTAGCGCGCACGTCGACCACAGGGAACCCAGCCAGCACACCGCTGCCCATGCACTCCTCCAGCCCCTCCCCGTGCATTCGCACATGCGTCGGCGTGTTACGGTGCCTAAAACATCAACCCCAACACTTGTACGTACCAAGAAGCGTAGCGCGCACGTCCACGACAGGGAACCCAGCGAGCACGCCGCTGCCCATGCACTCCTCGAGCCCCTTCACCACGCCCGGCACATACTCCTTGGGCACCGTGCCGCCCTTGATCTCGTTCTTAAACTCGTACCCACTCCCCGGCTCCAGCGGCTCGAACTTAATCACCACCTCCGCGAACTGGCCCTGCCCGCCCGACTGCTTCTTATGCGTGTACTTAATCTCCACCTGCCGGCCGATACTCTCGCGGTAGTTAACCTGCGGCGCGCCGACATTAGCATCCACCTTATACTCGCGCTTCAGCCTATCGACGATAATCTCCAGATGCAGTTCCCCCATACCCTCGATGACCGTCTGATTCGTCTCCTCGTCGCGAGAGAAGTGGAAAGAAGGGTCCTCCTGCGCGAGCTTAATCAGACCGTTCGACATCTTATCCACATCCGCCTTAGTCTTAGGCTCAATAGCGACCTTAATGACTGGGTCCGGGAAGTCCATGCGTTCCAGGACAACCGGCGCGTCAGGGTCGCAGAGCGTTTCGCCGGTGATCGTATCCTTGAGCCCTGCGAGCGCGATAATGTCGCCCGTGCGAGCGATCTTGACATCCTCGCGCGAGTTCGCGTGCATCTCTAACAGCCGTCCGATGCGCTCCTTGCGGTTCTTATTCGCATTCATAACGTACGTCCCGGCCGTCAGCACGCCCGAGTAAACCCGCACGAACGTCAGCGACCCGACAAACGTATCAGTCATGATCTTAAACGCTAGCCCGGAGAACGGAGCGGAGTCGCTAGGGGGGCGGTCGAGGGCCTTCTCGGGATCCTCGGGGTCGGAGCCCTTCATGGGCGGGAGGTCGAGCGGGGAGGGGAGGTAGTCGATGACTGCGTCTAGCAGCGGCTGCACGCCCTTGTTCTTGAACGCCGTACCGCACAGCACCGGGACGAACGACGACCCGATCGTGCCCACGCGGATGAGGCGCTTGAGAGTGGCTTCGTCCGGCTCCTCGCCCTCCAAATACGCCTCCATCGCGTCGTCGTCCTGTGGTGGGGAGGACGGAATGGGGGAGAGTGAAAAAGAGGGTGAAAGGGAGAAAGGTTGATGAGGCGCTTGAGAGTGGCTTCGTCGCCCTCCAAATACGCCTCCATCGCATCGTCGTCCTGTGGTGGGGAGATGAGAGGGGTTGGGGAAGTGGGGGGGGGGGGGGCGGAGGGGGCGGGGAAGCAAACGAGGTGATGAGGGTGAGAGGTGCAGGGCACGAAAGTCAGTCACGTGTGCCGTCTCAAGCAGCGCACTGGAAACGGGTGTGTAGCCAACTGGAACGAGTGACGAGGCGACGACTGCAAAGCCAGTTGATTTGGTTTTCTGGACAGACGTTTGCTGTCTCGGATTGCATCGGTACGCCCAGTCGGGCACTCAACCCGCGTGGGGGTGTGCCGCTCGCAGGACGAATCGTGTCAAACTCGCAGTGCACACGAGCGGCAATTCCTCCAGCTACTATCGGCACTGTAAACGAGATGAGCCAAATGACGCAAGTCTGAGTGACCGTTAATTCAGATAAGGCGCGCCATTCTCTTTCACACGCCTCAACCAATCACACGTGCTGTTCGACCACACCCTTTGTACCCACCACCCCCCAACCCCCCCACCCTCCACCCACCACCTCCACCCTCCCCATTCCCCCTTCACTCACCAGCTCCACCGCCGACTCGACGAGCTGCGCGCGGTACTCGGCGGCCTTCTCCTGGAGGTCCTCGGGAATGTCGCAATACTCGAAGGTGGCGCCCAGCTCCTCGCCGTTCCACACGATCGCCTTCATGCGCACGAGGTCCACCACGCCCTGAAACGCGTCCTCCGCGCCGATGGGCAGCTGCAGCACGAGCGGGTTGGCGCCCAGGTTGCTGACGATCATGTCGCGCGTGCGGTAGAAGTTGGCGCCCAGCCGGTCCATCTTGTTCACGAAGCAGATGCGCGGCACGCCGTACTTGTCCGCTTGCCGCCACACCGTCTGGGGGGAGAAGGAGGAACCGGGGAGGGGGGAAAGGAGGGGGACAGAGGCGGGGGGTGGGGGGGAGGGCGAAGAGGCGGGTGGGGCAGGGGGGGGAGAGAGGGAGTGGAGGGGACAGAGAGGTTGAGCGTGTGATCTGAAAGGCTTTGAGCCGCGCAGGGCGTAACTGGGACTCGGACAGGGCACGCATTGCTCACCTCGGATTGGGGCTCGACGCCGGCGACGGAGTCGAAGAGGCAGATGGCGCCGTCGAGCACGCGCAGCGCGCGCTCCACCTCGAGCGTGAAGTCGACGTGGCCGGGCGTGTCGATGATGTTGATGCGGTGGTTGTTCCACATGCACGTCGTCGCGGCGGACGTGATCGTGATGCCGCGCTCTTGCTCCTGCGAGGGAAGGAAGGAGGGAGGTGCGGGGGGAGAGGAGTGAGGGGCGGAGAGCACGCTCCACATGCGCATGGGAGGTGAGACGCAGTCTCTTTACGTCTTGGAACCACCAAGTCCTTCTGAGTCGTCTTAAGAGATGGACCCATGGGTATGGGGGATGTGACAGAGTCGGGCGGGTCATATGTTAGAGAACAACGAGTATTGTGAAGTGACTCTGGCTCGGGGGCGGTGATCACGTGTGGTTTACGTGTGGAGAGTCAGATGGAACGAGCGCGATGATGCGACATACGTTTTGTTTCGTATTTCACACCCACAGTCACAGCCTACAATTTCAGGCCCCGCAGCTCACCTGCTCCATCCAGTCCATGGTGGCGGTGCCTATAACTCCGTCCTTCCGAAACAAGCGAGTTAAGAGACCGTGTTTAAACGTCGGGCCTCACCTGCTCCATCCAGTCCATGGTGGCGGTGCCCTCGTGCACCTCGCCGATCTTGTAGTTCTTGCCCGTGTAGAACAGCACGCGCTCCGTCGTCGTCGTCTTGCCCGCGTCGATGTGCGCCATGATGCCGATGTTGCGGTAGTCCTCCAGCGGCACCTGTCGGCCTGCGGAAATATGGCAATGTACAGGGAGCGACTTCGCGGATAATGAGACGGCTTGTAACGCGTCAGTGTGTGCCATCATGCGATGCTGCGGTAGTCCTCCAGCAGTACCTGAGGGCCTGCACCAGTGCTCACGAGGCGTTGCACGTTACCACATTGCATCTCATGCAGGTCCGCGACTGTTCAGACGCCTTGAAATAAGAAAAGCGCGGGTAAGCGTCCAATTCTATGGTTTGCCGAGACCACGTAAGTGCTGAAGCCACCGGGACGAGCCACGTGGTGGACCAGAATGCGACTAAATTGGTATTCTATTCGCACGGTACGAGCACGGGATGCACATCCTGTCAACCAATCAGAGCAGTCTCAAGCCGAGCCCACACGCACCTCCCTCGGCCATGCAGATCACGGGCGAGCGTCCAGCGGCGACTGATCGCGACACGGTCCGCATCTTGCGGTCGGCAGACTTCTTCGCGTGAGAAGCCTTGGCAGCGCCGGGAAGGTCCTTGCCGGACTTGAGGCCGACGAACGGCACCGCGACGGCCGCATTGCTCGATGCGACCGCGCTGGACCTGTCGCCTGCGACGGGTGCTGCGACGCTGCTGGCGACCTTTAGAGGACAGCTGGCTAGTGACGACGCCATGTTTTGTTGTACGCGACGAGATAAGCTTCGATTAGAGAGCGCTGTGAGAAGGGCTTCTAGGAACGCGGCCCTGACTGGAAACCGCTGGGAGAGAGCGATTACACCAGCGGAAAGTAGCAAGCATGAATGGAGGGTTTGGGAGATAAGGGAATCTCGAGTGGTTGCTGCAACGCTGGTGCTGTGGTGAGTGTGTCAGGGGAGGAGCGTTGGAACGATGCGCGATTACAGTGTGGCGGGTGCAATCCCAAGGGTCAGTGGATAGAATTCGCGTGGCCAGGCAAGGTGTCAATGCTGGCACAGTGACGCCACGCTGTCCGTTACAGCGTTACAAAATGCGGACCTTGAACGTGGGCTTTTGACCACCTCGGCCTGAAATTGGTGTTTGAAGTCTGCTGGGTACACCGTGGCGCTCAGAGTATCCTCCACGTGGGCGAAATGACCAGAAGGTTGCGGCGCGAAGTAAAGGTGCGTGGAATAATGATGCCACGTTTCACAATGCGTCCGTCGGTATGTGAGGCAAACGATACGCGATATAAGTTTCGCCATGAATAGACTACCATCAATACGGAAATCGATACCAGCATGAAAACTGTAACTGGGCACAATGTGATTCAAGACTTGCAAACAAGCGTAAAAATAATAACCACACTTGTTATGGACAGAACAGTACTTTGTTAGCTCTGTACTTCCTTCCATATCATCATCCCCTGAGTGGAGTTCTTGCGCCACCCCCCCTATCAGCCCCTCCAGCTCCCCACCCTCCTCCCGACCCACCACCACTCCCAGCTCCCCATCCCCCTCCTCCCCCTCCCCCTCCCCCCTCCCCCTCCCCCTCCCTCACCACCCCAGCCACCTGCATTTTGCCAACCACTCCCACCGCCGTCTCCAGACTGCCACACTTGCCCTCCTCCCTGCTCCCCCCCACCCCCCCCACTCCACGCCCCTCCCCCCCATCCAATCTTATCCCCCCCACCTCCTGCAGGCCCCCAACCACCCGACCCAGCCTGGTCCCACCGACCTCCCCTTCCCCCTGCCGGTATCGGGGGTGGCGGGGGCAACGCCAAACCGCCACCACCACCACCAGAAGCTCCTCGGCGCGGCGTCTCTCTTTTCCCACCACCCCCGCCCGCACCCCCATCGCCACCCTCCACCGGGTCATTAAAATGCGCCTGGAAATACTTCACCAAACGATCCGGTGTTGGGAACGTGTGCTTCCTGAACCGAAACCCCTCGGGCGAAACGGTGATATACTCGTGCACGGGGCGGCCGGAGACAGACGCGGAGCGGATGTAGGTGAGCATGAAGGCGCCGGGGTGGTCGTGCGAGAGGGAGAGGTAGTAGGGGATGCGCGCAGGCTCGCGCTCCTTGTCCGTGCGGACTAGGGCATCCATGTCGCCTTTGGATCCCTGGCGGAACTTGCGGTATGCAGCCATGTCCCGCATGCGCGCTGCTAGCGGCTCGATGTAGCGCGCCATCACCTGAAGGGGAGGGGTGGGGAGGGGTGGGGAGGGGTGGGGAGGAGTGGGAAGGGGTGGTGAGGAGCATCCATGTCTCCTTTGGAGCCCTGCCGGAACTTGCGGTATGCCGCCATGTCCCGCATGCGCGCTGCCAAGGGCTCGATGTACCGCGCCATCACCTGGTGGAGAGGGGTGGGGAGGGGTGGGAAGGGGTAGAGAGCCAACTTTTGTGACATCTCAAAAGGCAGAGGAGGCTCGATGTACCGCGTCATGACCTGGCAGAAAGGGGTGGAGACGGGTTGAAGGGATTCAAAAGTAGGTGCTGATTGTAGCGCGCCATGACTTAGAAGGGAGGTTGAGGAGAGGGGGAGGAGGTCAGGCAGAGAGGAGGAAGCCATGAGAGGAGGAAGCCATAAGAACGAGGGAAAGCGCGAAGATGGGGAGAGGCACGGCGCAGGGTGCAGCTGATGAGAGGCAGGAGCAGGACACCCTTTTACCCCTCCACCCCTGCACCCCGTCTCACCTCGTCCAGGTCCTCAAAGGAATCATCCCCGATGGTGAGAGTGCGGCCGCGGCGCAGGAAGCTGGTGGCGACACAGGAGGAACACCACACACACACTCACTCGTTGGAACCGCATCTCACCTCGTCCAGGTCCTCATAGGACTCATCCCCAATAGTAAGAGTGCGGCCGAGGCGCAGGAAGCTGGTGGCGGAGGTGCGGTCCTTGCCGCCCTCGTGGACATCCACGTGTGTGAAGGCAACAAGGTGAAGGCACACCCTTGACAAGACAAACCTAACGCGAAGGCCCCCCTCACCTCACTCCGCCTCACCTCACCCGATCTCACCTCATCCAGATCCTCATAGGACTCATCCCCGATAGTAAGAGTGCGGCCAAGGCGCAGGAAGCTGGTAGCGCTGGTGCGGTCCTTGCCACCCTCGTGCACATCCACATGCGTGAAGGCGCCGTCCGGTAGCTTCATGGTGATGCTCAGATGCGTGGGGCCGCGGCTGCTGGGCCGAATCACCACACTGCCCACATCCTTGTCCGCCAGGACCTGGTGTGTTGACATGGGGGAAAAGCCACGGATGGGGAGCACAGGGGAAAAGCACGGCGGGAATGCACGGGTGTGTGAAGGGCGCCGTCTGGTAACTTCATTGTGATGCTCAGATGCGTGGGACCGCGGCAGCTGGGCCGAATTGCAACGCACCACGGCAACCCATCGCACCTCATCAAGGTCCTCAAAGCACTCACCTCGTCCAGGTCTTCATGACCATGCATTCCATTCAAGCGCGTTTATTTCACTCGTTCATGATTAAAACAACAGCGCACACACCTTCTTAGCGCCTTCAAGCGACACGTTGTGGAAGAGCGGGTAAGTGATCATGCGTGCTAGCTAAGAGCGTTCATCGACCCTTGGACAGTTGAAACAACAGCGCACACACCTTCTTAGCACCCTCCAGAGACACGTTGTGGACGAGCGGGTACGTGATCATGCGGGGGCGGAAGGCGGTCTCCTCTTGAATCCTCTCCAAAGTCTTCAAATTTTTTTTGAAACGTCTGAAAGGGTCAGCGCACCTTCTTGGCGCCTTCAAGCGACACGTTGTGGAAGAGCGGGTAGGTGATCATGCGGGGGCGGAAGGCGGTCTTCCGCTTCTCCTCCTCCTTGCGCTTCCTCTCCTCGGTCGCTGCCTGCTCCTCCTGCTCCACGGCAGCGCGCTGGTAGTACGGGTCCCACTGCCGCATCTCCCTCCACTCGCTGCTCCTCAGATCGCTGCCCTTGCACGTCAGAATCACCTGCACGGGTGGTAGGGGGCGGGTGGGAGGTGGGAGATGATGGGAGGTGGGAGATGATGGGAGGTGGGAGATGATGGGAGGTGGAAGATGATGGGAGGTGGGAGATGCTGGGAGGTGGGAGATGTGAGACGGGCAGAGCGGAATGGGGAGAGGGAAGAATGCAATGCGAGGCAGGGGGAAGCAATTGGAAAAGAGGCAAGTGGAAGAGAAAACCAAGCAGGGGCGCGGCAGTCATGACAAACCCCCAAGCCCACACACACATTGTACTCTTCCAACTCCCACACACACATCCCCCCCCTTTCCCCACCCTTTTTCTCCCCCCCACACGCACCTTGGCCTCCTCCGTTTTGACTTCCTTGATGCGGCATGTGAGCGGCTGCCCCTCAGTCACCACATCCCTCAGCTCCACATTCGGATCATCACTGAAGTCCCTCCGGTCCACCTCCCCCAGCACACCGCTCTCCAACGCACACAACACCTTGAACTTCAGCACCCGCTTCACCGTCGCAGTCACCACCTTCCCCACCGCAACACTCTCCTCCGTCTCCCCACTCAGCAACCAGAACTGCTCGTCTGCGTTCAGCGACTCAAACTGAACGCGGCACTCTGCAAACCCGTGCATGAGCTCTCGGCGAATCAGCAGCAGCTTCTCCTTCAGCCCGCCCTGCCCCTTCCGAGCCAGCATCACCGCGTAGTCCTCGAAATCGAGCCTGCGGATCAGGTCCGGGTTGTCCCGAGCCTCGAGGACCACATCTATGCCTCTCTCCTCCACGCTGTGCGGCGTCATGCCGCGGTGGGCCTCGCAGTAGCCGTCTGTTGCCACTTTGAGCGCGAGGCGGTAATCTGCTGGGTGGATGCGAGAGTCATCTAGCATGTCGTCCTGCCCGCGAACGCGGATGGATGCTGCTGCGTTGATGAACACGACCTGTGGGCGTGGGGGGGAAGAAGCAAATTGCGGCAGGGAAAGGGAGAGAGGAAGGGGGATGTGTGTGCAGCGTCATGCCTATGTGTGCCTCGCAGTACCCATCGGTGGCCACCTTGAGCGCCAGGCGGTAGTCTGCTGGGTGGATTCGGGAATCGTCCAACATGTCATCCTGCCCTCTCACCCGGATGGATGCTGCTGCATTGATAAACACCACCTGGTAGGAGGGGGGGGAGAAACCGGGGCAGCAAGGGAGGCAACAGGAGTCCAAGGATGAATCTAGTCATGCCGCGCTGGGCCTCGCAGTAGCCATCGGTGGCCACCTTGAGCGCCAGGCGGTAGTCTGCTGGGTGGATGCGAGAGTCATCTAGCATGTCGTCCTGCCCTCGAACGCGGATGAACGCCGCTGCGTTGATGAACACCACCTGGGGAGAGAGCGGGGGAACAAGGGTAAGTGCGGAGCGGGAAGGGGGATAGGGGGAGGGGAAGGGAGATGAATCATGAATATGCAGCAGGCGGTAGTCCGTCAGGCAGCAGAGCACGTCGTCCTGCCATGCTACTCCTTCGTGAGCATGAATGCTGCTGTGTTGATGATCATCACCTGGTGGGGACGAGGGAGACAACAGGGTTTGAAGTCCAATGAACGATTGGGGGAATCAGGCAGGACGCCAACGCGCTCTCTCACTCGAATGCATGCTGCAGACCACCTGGGGGAGGGACGGGTGGAGATCAGGAACGAGTGGGGTGGAGGGGGGGGGGAAGGCGTGGGACGGGGGCAACGTGCAGAGGAAGGAGGTGGGGAACGAGAGAGGAGGGATGGCAGTTGGGGGGCGGAGCAGCAAGGCAGGCTAGGGCGGGTGACGAACCTGGTCGAGCAGGAAGGGCGGGTCGATGAGGTCCTTGCGCCGCCTCACCACGCCCTCTCCCAGTATGCGCACCTGATGGGAGGAGAAAGGCACATGGGCGAGGGGGAGAGAGGTAACAGGGAGAGAGGAGAGAGGCGAGGGGGAGAGTGAAAGAGTTTAGAACCCAATTCGATGGCGAGGGGCGAGCGGGAGGGGGTGAGGGGCGAGGGAGCGAGGCAAGGGGAACATCGATGATGGGCGGTCAAAGAAAGGAGCATGCGAGGCAAGGGGGGAGACAGAGAGGAGGAGGGGCAAAGTCGGAGAGAAAGCAGGAGTGGTGAGGGAGAGTGAAGGGGCAAAAGGCGTATCAGACATGGATGAGATGAGGGTGAGAGGCAAGGAGGCTCATCACTCACTTTGAGCGTGGAGGCCTTTCTGGGTCTGAGGCCGCACACAAACTGCAGCGGCGCAAAGAGCCAATCCTGCGCCTCCTGTGCCGCGTAGTTCACATCCACTCCCACCTGGCAGGCGGAAGATGAAGAGGAGAGCGGGTGAGGGAGCAGCAGGGGGGTGATGAATGCATGACTCTTGAGCCGACTCAACAGTCACCTCCTGTGCCGCGTAGTTCACATCCACTCCCACCTGGCAGTACAGTGAGTGGAGTGGGGGAAGCAGGTGAGGGCGCATGTGGGTGATGAACGGATGACTTAAAAGCTGACGTGACAGTTGCCCCCTGTGCCGCATACTTTACATCCACGCCCACTGGCAGGCGGGTGGTGCGAGGGGAGAGGTTGAGGGAGCAGCAGGGGGGTGATGAATGCATGACTCTTGAGCCGACTCAACAGTCACCTCCTGTGCCACGTACTTCACATCCATGCCACGCCCACCTGCCAGCACAGTGAGTGGTAGCTAGCCCTACCCACCTCGTTGGTAACCGCACGGTCCGCACTGTTAGAATACCATCCTCACTTGTAACCTGCATCTATCCTATAAGCTTCGGCTAGAGGTAGACACCCAAATGTAGTTTGGGTGTAGAACTAGGGCTAACCCTAGTTGGGGGTTGGAACTCAACACTTGGCCCAATTATTTGGCCCCCAAGGTTGGGTTGGGAATTATTGCCCCCCCCCCAATAATGTTGAACCACTTTTGGTCAACATTATTGGTTCCCCCAATTATTCCTCAACCCAACTTATTGGTGCGGGCCAATAATGTTGGCTAGGTTCCCCAACCAAACCCTCCCTCCTAGCACAACTATGTATACCCCTTCTATTCCTAATATGATCAATGGTTCATCTTCACGTTTTCTCACACGCACCTGATTAGTAACGGTGACCATGACGCGCTCAAGTGCGTCGTACACGTCATCGGGCGGCAGCAGGTCCTGCAAGCGGTGGAACTTGGCAGATAGCACCTCCCTTGCCGGCCCAAACAGACACGCCGCCAGCGCCAGGCGGTTCTGCATGTAGCGCCCGAGCCCTACCGTGCGCCGTACTATGCCTGGAGGGGAAGAGGAGGGAGGCAAGGAAAGGGGAGGGGAGATGTGAGGTCGGATCGGAAGACGTTCAGAAAGAGGTTATGAAGGGCGCGGGAAAGAGATGGGCGGCAGGCAGGGGGAGGCGTGAATTGGGAAAACGAACTGAGAGAAAAGAAGAGTGCTGAAAATGGGTCAGAAAGGAATTCTGTACGTGCTGCCCTGGTACAAATGTGCACCGCACTATGCCTGGAGCAGCCTGGGTATCTCTTCCTCTGCTATAAAAGGAGATCTCATTGTAGCAAGCGGTGCTGCTCTCTTGCGCACCAGCCTGAGAGGTACAACAAGTGCTTGCCTGGCTGCAAACTGCTTGCATGACTGTGGGGTGCGTGCGAGTGCTTGCCTGGCTGCGAGGGCAGGTGCTCTTGGGAAATGGCGGAATTCTCGTAGAGCAGAGCGAGTGTCTCGTCTTGAAACACTACCTGGTGTATGTGCCGGGCAGGGGGAGGACAGGAGGAGAGGACAGAGAGGGAGAGCGCTGTGACTGTGAGCTTGCATGCACAGATTGAGGGGAATGTGCCAAGCGGGGATGAGGTTGGTCCGATGACGTGGGAGGGTGAGAGAAGAAATGACGGTCAGGTGAGGTGAGGTGGGGTGGGGTGAGGTGGGGAGAGAGTGTCCAGGCAGGCGGTGGGCATGACTTGGACAACAGGCGGCAGCGGAGAGAAAAGGAAGGAAGGATGCGAGTGCTGTCATAAGCCGACGGTGTCTTAAGAAATCAAGGAACGCAGCAGCCTCAACAACCACAAGCAGGTGACCGCAGGTGGTATGGTAGTGGCAAGGTACAAGCACCGGACGTATGGTAGTGGCAGCAGCAGGGCACTCACGCGGACGTTGTCGACATCGGAGGTGAGGTCGCGGGGGAAGTGCTTGACGATCTTGAAGATCACCTGGTGGGGGGGGGAAGAGGGCGGAAGGAGGGGGGGGAAGGAAGGGAGGGAAGGGAAGAGGCATGCAAGTGAGTGGAGCGTGTGAGACAAGTAGAGGGTTCCCATGCCACAGGGAGGGCTGAGGTCTCGGGGGAAGTGCTCGACAATCTTGAATATCACCTGGTGGGGGGGGAGGAGGTGGGGGACGGGACGGATGGGACGACGCATGGAGTTGAGTTAAACGCGTAAGCAAACCAGCAATGCCAGAGGAAGGGTTGAGGGAGAAGCAAGTGGCACAGGAGGACGGAGGAAGGGTTGAGGGAGGAGAAGCAAGTGGCACAGGAGGACGGAGGAAGGGTTGTGGGAGGAGAAGCAAGTGGCACAGGAGGACGGAGGAAGGGTTGTGGGAGGAGAAGCAAGTGGCACAGGAGGACGGAGGAAGGGTTGAGGGAGGAGAAGCAAGTGGCACAGGAGGACGGAGGAAGGGTTGTGGGAGGAGAAGCAAGTGGCACAGGAGGACGGAGGAAGGGTTGAGGGAGGAGAAGCAAGTGGCACAGGAGGACGGAGGAAGGGTTGTGGGAGGAGAAGCAAGTGGCACAGGAGGACGGAGGAAGGGTTGTGGGAGGAGAAGCAAGTGGCACAGGAGGACGGAGGAAGGGTTGTGGGAGGAGAAGCAAGTGGCACAGGAGGACGGAGGAAGGGTTGTGGGAGGAGAAGCAAGTGGCACAGGAGGACGGAGGAAGGGTTGAGGGAGGAGAAGCAAGTGGCACAGGAGGACGGAGGAAGGGTTGAGGGAGGAGAAGCAAGTGGCACAGGAGGACGGAGGAAGGGTTGTGGGAGGAGAAGCAAGTGGCACAGGAGGACGGAGGAAGGGTTGACGGAGAAGCAAGTGGCACAGGAGGACGGAGGAAGGGTTGAGGGAGGAGAAGCAAGTGGCACAGGAGGACGGAGGAAGGGTTGAGGGAGGAGAAGCAAGTGGCACAGGAGGACGGAGGAAGGGTTGTGGGAGGAGAAGCAAGTGGCACAGGAGGACGGAGGAAGGGTTGTGGGAGGAGAAGCAAGTGGCACAGGAGGACGGAGGAAGGGTTGAGGGAGGAGAAGCAAGTGGCACAGGAGGACGGAGGAAGGGTTGAGGGAGGAGAAGCAAGTGGCACAGGAGGACGGAGGAAGGGTTGTGGGAGGAGAAGCAAGTGGCACAGGAGGACGGAGGAAGGGTTGAGGGAGGAGAAGCAAGTGGCACAGGAGGACGGAGGAAGGGTTGTGGGAGGAGAAGCAAGTGGCACAGGAGGACGGAGGAAGGGTTGAGGGAGGAGAAGCAAGTGGCACAGGAGGACGGAGGAAGGGTTGTGGGAGGAGAAGCAAGTGGCACAGGAGGACGGAGGAAGGGTTGAGGGAGGAGAAGCAAGTGGCACAGGAGGACGGAGGAAGGGTTGAGGGAGGAGAAGCAAGTGGCACAGGAGGACGGAGGAAGGGTTGAGGGAGGAGAAGAAAGTGGCACAGGAGGACCAGAGAGAGACGCGCAGATGTGATGGAGACTGGAGAGCAGTCTGCACTGACTGTTGCACCCACATGCACATATCCCAATACGCACATGCGGTCCACGTGCGCCCCAGTCACTAGCCCAGCAGCCCACGCACCTCCCATTAGCGCATGCCCCACTCCACTCACCCCATGCCCCAACCACACACACCTCCCAGATTTCATCCTTCAGTCGCTCGCAAGCGAGGTTAGCCCCGCCCACCACCACCACGTGCGGCTTGTGCTCCTTCACAAACGCCATCAGCCGCCGCTCGTCCTCCCGCTTCTTCATCACCATCACCTGCTGCTCCCCCCCTCCCCCTCCCCCTCCCCCCCCCCCCGCTCCCCCTCCTCCCCCCATGCTCCCCCCTGCGCCCCCACCTAGGGCAGCGGCGTCCCCTTTAGGCTGGCCTGTGCGCGCACAGAGGAAGCCAGTATGGAGAAAATCCACCATCTCCCCCGCGGCGTTCAGCATTGCAAAGGTGGTTGCGGGGTTCCCCGGCCCCCAGCAGCACGCCATCACTCTCAGCCACGGCTGCCCCCCTCCCCCGTGCTCCTCCCCTCCCCCATGCCTCCCGCCCCTCCCTCCGCCGCCCCGCATGCCCCCTCCCCCGCCTCCCCCCATCCCGCCCCCTCCGCCGCCCCCGGCCCCCTTCGCACGGACGTCAAAGGGGGCGACGGAGACGTGTTTCCAGAGGGAGAGGGCGCACTGCTCTGCCACGAATGCCTTGGCGCGGCCGGTGAGCAGCAGGCGCGTCTCCTTGTGCATCGTCGGCAGCAGCCGGGCGGCGATCGCCGCCCGGAGGATGGTGCGGCGCTGCTCGTTCCACAGCGAGGCGAAGTGGGAGACGCCGTCTGAGAGATAGGCTGCTTCAAACTCCTGAGAGGAGGCAGGCACGGGAGGGAGAGAGCGAGGGGAAGCAGGAATGGGGAAGCGGGCGTGGAAGCACGGGGAAACGAAGGTGACAAGGTCGTTATGAGATGAGCAAGGCGAAATGGTAGACACCGTTTGAAAGGTAGGCTGCCTTAAACTCCTGAGATGATGCGGGGGAGGGAGAGAATGCAGGGGAGGAATGGCATGGAGAGGAGAAGCAGGAAAACAGGGAGACGAGGCTGCTAATTTGAACGGCCCTGATTGTTCCATAAAGAGGTAGGATGTGCCATGTGTGCATGCCAGTGCATCATGTCCCACTGCTGCCTTACCTGAATCACGCCCCCGTGCACACCACAGGCAGGCAAAACCCTAAGCCCTGCGCATATCACATCCCCTACCGAAACCCATCATTGCGAACCCTCAACGTCACATGCTCAGTCCTCTTGCACCACCCTCCTCCAGCTCAACCGCAGCCTTGCCCTACACCCTGAACCCGAAACCTGGAAACCTAGCAATTATAATGACCCCTCGGGCTTGATTGTCAACCCCTGTGAACTGGATGTCCTAAAACCATGGGCCTTAAACCTTAAACCCTCAACCCCTGCACCTCTCTGCACCCACCTGGATGACGTTCTCCTGCACCACAGCAGGTGGCAGTCCCAGCTCCACCTTCACAAGCCCCTGCGATTCAGCCTTGGCGATCAGCAGCCACTGGTCGTCTCTGAACTCCCTTGAGGCGCCTCAAAGGCCGTCTCGTCGCGGAACTCGCCCACCGGCTTGGCTTCTCCGCCATTCCCCCTTACCTCAACCGCAATTCCTGCCCTACACCCAAAACCCCGAATCCTCAAAACCACCCGATGAGCTTGGACCTTAAACCCTATCCCCTCAAACCCTCAACTCCTTCAACCCCTGCACCCCTCTGCACCCACCTGGATGACGTTCTCCTGCACGACAGCAGGCGGCAGCCCCACCTCCACCTTCACGAGCCCCTGAGACTCAGCCTTGGCAATCAGCAGCCACTGGTCGTCTCTGAACTCGCCCACTGGCTTGTCCTTGAGGCGCTCAATGCCCGCAAAGCGGTGGAATGTATCGATCACCTGCAGTCATGAGCACGCAAGGGAGGGTGGAGGAGGGCGCCGAGGAGGGAGAGAGGAGGGCAGGAAGTTTTTGAGGCGACTCTTGAGGGACGGAGAAAAGGAATAACAATGAGGCAGCAATAGAGGGACTAAGGAAAGACAAGAAGGAAGATGGAGAGGAGCTGAGTGTGAGAGAGCCAGCAGCAGCAGGCGTTGCCCGAACTGCACAAGATGGGTATTCAAATGCGTTTCTCCAGCACCGAAGACTGGGCTCAACTCAATATCCGCCTGGGGAGGATTTTGTGGGACGAGCCCCTGGGATCCAGTCCAGTTCGTCCCACAAAATCCGCCTGGGGCACTACCTGACCGCCAGAAACCCAGGGGTGGGGCGGTACCTGGTGGCGAGCGGTGGGCGTTACCTGGCGCCCAGAGCATCTGTACCTGGCGCCCAGAGCATCTGTACCTGGCGCCCAGAGCATCTGTACCTGGCGCCCAGAGCATCTTTACCTGGCGCCCAGAGCATCTTTACCTGGCGCCCAGAGCATCTTTACCTGGCGCCCAGAGCATCTTTACCTGGCGACCGCGCGGGGTGGGGTTGGTGGAAACGATGGCACGCTTGTTGAAGATCTCCCTCACGTGCTCTCGCACCTTGGGCTCTATGCTTATCTCCACCTCCGCCTGCCATGCGCAAGCAACACAGACACACGATGGGAGGCACACACAAGCAACACACAGGCGTCAATGTTGAGCACTCTCACACCATCTCCCTCACGTGCTCTCGCACCTTGGGCTCTATGCTTATCTCCACCTCCGCCTGCCATGGGCAAGCACAGCACAAGCAGAGTCCGCCATGCGGGTACGCACATCATGAGACGATGCAGGCAGGCACACGAGGAATCCAGGAAAGCAGCAGACGGGAAGGCCCACTGTCCCCACGCACCATGTGGCGAGCGCCTCTGAGAACAAGGGCAGGCGAGGGGAACTCAGCACAGATGTACTCCGTTGCCACCTCGTCCGGTGATAGCGCCGTGTCCTCCACCTCGTGTTGCTGCGAGAGTGTGACCACACACACACACACATGCCCACGCAGGCACAGCGGCATGAGAGTACGGGAAGGAGGTGATTGAGAGTGGACCCAACAAGGAACTCAGGACAGCGCCGTGTCCTCCACCTCGTGTACACGCGCACCTTGTACATGGAGATCAGATTCTCCCCCAGCTGGAACGCCGACAGCCCAATGCGCTTCACCACTCCCTTGAGCCCAACACCCTCACCACCCCCCACCCCACCACACACCTCTCACACCCCACACCACACACCCCACCACCGCTGGCGCGCACCTTGTACATGGAGATGAGGTTCTCCCCCAGCTGGAACGCGCACACTACACACACCCCACTATCCCTCACAGTGCCACACTCTCATAAACCCCACATGCCCCATCACTCGTGCGCACCTTATACATGGAGATGAGGTTCTCCCCCAGCTGGAACGCCGACAGCCCAATGCGCTTCACCACGCCCTTCAACCCCGCCCTCCGGCACACCGAGTACATGGACCGCTTCCGAGGCCGCCTCTGCACCGCCCCCGCCCCTCCCCTCCCGCCCTCCTCCGCCACCGCCTCCTCTGGCGGAAACTGCAGGTTGAACTTGGCGTCTACGTCCTGTACAGCGGGCTCGGAGAGCGCACAGTGGAGCGCGTGCAGGACGCCTTGCATGGCGAGCTGCCGCTCCGCCTCCTCGTCCTCGTCCACTCGCGGCCGCTCGTATGCGGAACAGAGGGAGCACTTGCGACGTTGGAGTAGTAGCCAGCAGCGATCCCACTGCTGGATGGCCCACAGGGCTTGAATTGGAGAAGAGCAGGGGGGGAGGTGGGGGGGAGGAGGGGCTTGTTGTGTGGGGAAGAAAGGGGAAGGGGTCAATGGGGAAGCAGCAGCAGCAGCCAGCGTCGGTCCCATTTCTGGATCGCCCACAGGGCCTGCAGGGAGGGGGTGGGGGGAGAGGAGGGGTTGGTTGTGTGGGGAGGAGGGGAACGGGTCAATGGGATGGGAAAGCAGCGGCAGCAGCAGCAGCAGCCAGCGTCGGTCCCATTTCTGGATCGCCCACAGGGCCTGGATTGTACAGGAGGGGAGGGGATGGGGAGGGGAGTGGGGAGGTCGGTTGTATCGGGAGGGAAGAGAGATGGGAAAGGGGGGTGAAGTGACAGGGGGAGGAAGGAGCAAGGCAAGGAACGAGGCGAGATTGGGAAATAGGCAAGTGGGTAAGTGGGATGGGATGGTATGAGAGAAATCGTGTCTGAGTGCGTGCGTTATTGACTGTCTTGCGCAGGAGCTGAAGCTTGACGATTGTCAAACATGAATGATCTCTCGGAGTTGACGCGGCGGTCTTCTCCAGGGAGAGGAAGTCCAGCAACTCCACGTGCATAGCTTGAGCCATCGATGCTCATGGCTTGATGGCTCTCAAGAGCATTGATGCGGGCGACCAGCTGCTCAACGAGAGCGGCGCTGACGGAGGTCACCGCGGATGGTGCAGTGGGTGTTGCTGGTGGTGGGCCCGGAGATTCTGCAGTGGGCTTTCCTTCTGGAGCCATAGTAGTGCAGAGTCTTTAATGCTGTAATGAATAATTTATAAGAAGGTTGTTCTAGCAAGAACAGGAGCTTGGCAGGCCTTATAATCCACTCTAGCTCTCATACCATGATGTTATTACTTAAGGATCGTAGTGGATATGATGAAGTTGCCAAGTATAAGGAAGAGAACTGTGAAGTCTCTGTAATGACCTTGTTAATAAATTGAACGAGAACAAGATGATTATAAGATAGGAGTACAAGGATATAAATAGCAATCCTAGCTAGCCATGTACTCTGAGGGGTACATTCCCTTATTAACTGAATTACATTGCTACAGTAACCGCGACTATTGCCATTCTAGACAGTTACCATGTTGCACTTCGTAACTGCCTTGTGCGGTTACTGGGCAGTCAAGGGTCACGACCGTTGACTGTCTTCGATTGTTGACCTTCGTGTGACCCTCGACCTTCCGCATGCTCTATATGAGCTATTGCGGTACTGATACAGGCGTGCACTTCGTTATGGAGTGACGCGAGAGTGGAGAACCTTTGGGAATGTTTATGATAACCTTTCGGTTATTCCAACAAAGGGCATAGAAAATTATAAGGGAGTAGTTATGCCTCGCTTCCTTGTAGAACGATTGATCTGGTCGAGCAGCATTTAGGCAGCACGGCGTTAACGTTTCTACTCTCGTCGATACGTACTAGTAGTATAATTAGAGATTGAAAGCATAACAGCAGTGTTGATTCAAGCAAATACATGCATGCATTTTATATTAACTTCTAAGCACACACAAGGAAAACACAAAAAAAATGTTGTTTAACTATCGTCCAGGTCTTCGCCTTGCTGTCGTTGAAAAACGGTTATAAATCTGCTCTTGAATCTGGCTTGACTTGCCTCGTTAAAAAACTGTCTTCAAGCTGCACCCTGCCACCTTTTCCTGCTTACTCCGTTTGCGAACGTTCATGATTTCCCGTGTGTGATCATGAACGCTCGTGTGGGATTACCGTTTTTCATGAAGCCTTACGGTTACCAACCGATTTTCATGAGGCCTTACAGCTACATAATGGTTTTCCACGGTTTTTTCCTGTATAAAAAATGTTACAGTATGCGCGCGACATTTCGAGCGAAGTTGCCTGTATGCCGAGTTAACACGGTATAAGGTTATTTCAACCGAAATCCCGGGCACCCCTTGACCATGACCGATATCTCGGTCGTGCAGTACTGTGCACTAACGTGCGCTATACTGCGTGTGGGCGGGGCGATCATTTGCCCTGTCTTGTTGCGATCGAGGGCACACGCGCGGGCCTGAGGGCCCAAACACACAATCAAGACCCCACGCATGGGTCCTGATTTTCTCGCGCAGTTGACCTTGACCGACGCGATAAATATCAAGGGGTCAAATTTGACCCTCCGTGAACACTCACAATTTCGTCACACTCCTCACTTTATGTACTATTGGGTGATTGGAACGGTGCAACCTATAACATGACACCTTGTGAGACTTGCTTAGTACTGAGCTTGAATGGTCGCCGTAAAGCATGTCACTTTGGCTTGCCTTCTGCAAGCCTCTTACAGATGTACTCACAAGGACAACAAGCCGATGCAAACCATGTGGTTGAAGCAACAACTTCGTGATACTGATATGCTTCCTGTGGCTTTTGACGTGCGAAGTTTACATGCAGCTGCGTAGAGTCACTCGACAAAGGTAATGAGCTAGACTACGGGGGGTAGGCACGAACTACTAAGAGTGATCGTAGCTTTGCTTGCGTTCCTTAGCGCTTGCACATTCACGGGAGAAGTTGGCAAGAGTTTCACTAGCAAAGTTGGAATTACAGAATGGTTAAACAAGGAATGACAACAATGACTACATCAGGCACCTAGCAACTCTGCAGCTAGCCTGGTCGACCGCCAGCACAGCTTGGTCGACCGCCTGCCAGCATTGCGTAGAGGAGCCGCGCCAGCACTGCAGAAAGACGACCTGCCAACACTGCAGGTTGAAGGCGTGCCAACGCTGCAGCAAAGCGGCTGTCCAGCGTTGCCCCGTAGTAGACAGCAGTGCGCGCGCTCGCAGGTGCGCGCAGACGATTGGCCCGACCTGCATCGTTGTGCATCCGTCGGCTGTTGTCTGCGCTTGACGAGCCACATCGACTTCGGGATACCAACCCAAAGTCGCCTTCGCCATCGCGACCTCGACGACGTTCGCGTGCCTCCGCAGAACTAGTCGAGCAGGTTACCCGGTCGACCTGGACACCACCAGGTGCTCTGGTCGACCACCAAGTGCCTCTGGTCGACCACCAGGTCCCTCTGGTCGACCACCAGGTCCCGCTGGTCGACCACCAGGTGCCCCTGGTCGACCACAGCTCCCGGTCGAACTGCAGGTCGACGGACTGCTCTGTCGACCTCCCGGTCGAACTGCCCCTCCTGGTCGACGGCCCACCCGTCGCTTAGACCAGTCAGTTGCAGCTGTCGAGCTCCCTGGTCGACAGCAACACCACAGCAGTCCTCTGCAGCTCGACGAAGCCTGGCGAGCAGCTCTCCCACTGTGAACGGTCGACTGCTACTCCCGTACATCCGACCAAGTCGTCGGCGTTGCCCAAGCGAGGGCGGGGCCAACACTCCATTCCCGTTTACAGCAGCTGTCTCAACGGCCCTTCTTCTCCTAATAGTGCGCACAGTGTGTCATTTTCTCCTCCCTCATGCAGATGGTAGCTCCCTCCTTGTACAAGAACATCACCCCTATTAACAGATCTTTGTCCTCTGACTTTGAAACTCCACAATTCACCCACAACAAACACTCCCCCTTCGTGCCAGGCTACAACACTACCTCCACAGGACTCTGTGTCTTTGCCATCCACTTAGCTCCTCCTGCTTCTGCGGTCATCAATAGGTGGCACATTGCTATCGTCCTATTTGGCTGATCCAACTGTAGGTTACTCGCCAACCTCCATCCCAGTAGGACGTATGCCGCACCTCTCTCCATGATTGCATGCCTTTCTGAAATGCATCCCACCGCAATGGCGCCTAGCTCCACAGTCAACGCCGAGGCCTGGCAGCTCATCCTCTCCATAGGGTGTCATTGCACCAATCCCTTGCTCTGCTCCGCTTGGGTCACTCCCCTTCTTGGACCAATTTCCATTGCCGGTGCTTCTCGGGCCTCACCCTCGGCTCTCTGGATATGAACCCGAGCTCCCCTGGATGGCCTCGCTATCAGGGCAAAAGGTTACCTCACTACTGCTATACTCTTTCTGACCCATCATTGCGTTACATTTCTCCTCCTCCATCTCCAGCTCCGCTTGTTGCCCCTTCAGCCATGCAATCCCGGCTTGGGCGTAAGCTCGATCGTCTAGTCCTTTCCGGTCCCTCTGGCTAGTAAAGTCGTCTTTCTCCATGTGCCTGCGCCTCCCATACCGGCCGCATGTCGGGGCTTCCGTGCAGTCCCTCCGTATGTGCGCCCGATCTCCACACACTGAGGATGCTACTAGGTTTCGGCAGTCCCATTTGATATGCCCCATCTGCTCGCAATTATGATATTTCCACGGGTCCCCCTATACTCGGTTGTCCCGCTCCTGCGGTATTGCTGCCGCCATCCATGCCGCGTGCATGCGTGTAGCGTGCGATCCACCAAGCACTCCACCTCGAACAGCCGACGACCCGACTTAACTCGTCTAGCCACCTTGTACAAGTCTTTCAATGTTGCTTCTACTCCCAAGTCAAAAATCCACACTTGCACATCCCGCAGTAGCTCCATGTTTTAGTCTCCATTGCCGATCAAGTGGCTCCGGCCCTGACACCCCATGTCTGCCCCCCGCTTCTCCATGCGACAGTAGTAGGTCAGGAGTAATTCCCTGGTCCTTCGTCAAAATTCCAAGAATATCATCACTCATTCTGCCGTCTGGGTCAAGTATTGCTCCCACGGCATACCCAAGAAGCGCACCGTGTGATCTCTCTCACCCGGTGCCTTTTGTGTCGCCCAATCCGATAGATCCCTGTGCGAGATCCAATAATATGACCCGGCCTCTCCCGTTAAGGTATTCGCCAATTGGAGAACTCCTCATGGTCAAGCGGATCCTTCTCCCACCGCGCCCACATATTCTCGGGCCAGATCACGCAATTATTTAACGGCATACATCTTCGGACATCTGCAGAGAAACGCACTGACACTTATATCTTCGGCAGCTGGGTGTAGCGCCAATGGTGCGCCAATGCGCTTTTCTTATGTTTCCATGTCTCCCTATCCCAAGCATTTTTTTGACCTCCGCCACACGTCTCCTCACCCGCCTCTGCTCGCTACGGGGCTTCTATGCGCGCCACTCGCCCCTGCTGGACCGCCACTCCCCGGGCTGGTCCCTTCGTCATTAGCCACCCCTTGCCCTTCTCGAATGGTGTCAGTGCTAGGGCGTTGTTCTCCACCCCGCGTTGCAACTCCCCCTTTAGTAATTTCTCCCACTGAGCCCTGCTCTTGCAAGCACCCCACAATGACCTTCCTTTGTATGAGTTCCCTGATCTCGCGCCTCACGTAAACTGTTTTTATGCATGAGAAAATCCCTTACTAGCTCCTTTAAGGTTTGTTATGGCCCTATATCTAATTGAGTAGAAGCCAATAAAAGCTATCAGTAAAACACAAGACAAACAGTGCAGTCTCATAACCAATCAGCCTATTACTACCTTCTTACCTATGGCTTATGTGCGACTCTCAAAGAAAGAACTAAACCTTGGTGCACGGCCATCCAATTCTGACCCACTCCTTGTCTCCAGCTGCTCGGCACACTCTTCCAACTGTCTCTGGTTCGGTGCCTGCTGGTTACGAGAAAACATTGATTGGTGCTCACACAAAGGTCATGCTTGCTCAACATTCCTGCATATTTGTAACCCCCTTCGCCACTCTGCACTGTGACCGCAACAACATAACGTACTTACTCATAGTACCAACCATGCAGGTGCGTAATTCCCGTACTCGTAGTACCAACCATACGGGGTAAGAAGTACATGTACACTTAATACCAACCATGAGGGTGAGTGTCGCACGTAATCTTGGTACCAACCTTACGGGTAAGGTCTCCACGTGCTCTTAGTCCCACCAAAAGGGTAAGTGACGCACTGAATCTTAGTACCATATCAATAGTATAACTAACTAACATACATTTAATACCAACTACAAGGCTTAGTGACGCACTTACACTTCGTCGTACCAACCATAAGAGTAAGTAACGTGCTTCTACGTACGTAAGTAACGCGTTTATCCTTAGTACCACTCATAACGGTAGGTAACAAACTTACTCTTAGTACCAACCATAAAGGTAAGCGACGTACTGGCGCTTAGTACCAAACTATTAGGGTAAGTAGAACACTTGTACCAACCATAAGAGTAGGTAACACACGTACTCTTAATACCAACAATAATGGTAAGTAATACACTTATTCTTAGTACCAGCCATAAAAGTAAGTAACGCACAAATTTTAGAGGGGGCACTTACAAGTTTTTGCAGTGCGGCTTCAAAGCTTCGTCAACTGACTGTATTTCAACAACTTAGTCTTAGTATACAGCTATAGAAGAATTTCGAGTTGGGAATGACTCCTGGCCTTTTCACACTCCAAGAGTCGAGTTCCAGGGATGTGTATAGTGTCACAGAGTTCCCAACTATGAAGGGGCTCAAAAGCACCTACGACAAGGGCCTACACCAATAGAATAATTACATCACACAATGCACTCTTACCAATTCCACTATCTTGATCTTTGCATTAATGTAGGCTCCAAATTATTATGAATCTTGAAATCAAGGCTTTGGCTGTTCACCAATGTTTTGTAACTTCTTGAAGGATATAGTACGAATCATTATTCACACACGTATATAAGCATACAATATATTATCATACTCATATCTCATGCCATTCTATGCACGCACACACATACGAGGACCATAAGCCGAGTGCAAGCTATGAATACACCAACAGGCGCAGCACCTTATGACAATGTCGGTGGTGATCGAAGTCAACAGCTACGTCATCCCCATCGTTCTCTTCAGGTGCGAGAGTATCCACTGCCGGAGCACAGTTGGGGGAGGGGGTGCAAGCTCTGCCACAATTTGTCTCAAGCAATTATGCATCGACAAAGAACAGGTTCTCAATGTGGAACTATTGCCCTATATGTGTGTCCGAGAAAAGGGACAACAGCATCTCCCTGAAGAGGGTCAGCTTGATGCTGAAGGAGCATAGCTAACTCCGAGGTCGGCGAAGCTCCCTCGGATTGCCGCCACACCCTACGCCCAATAATCACTGCTCACGCACTCAAAAGGGGGCAGCAAAAGATGGATTATGCTGGTGCATGTGTTTTAAGCATCACCACGCTGCACTACCCCAGAGCGACAAACAGATGGGAAGTTGAATGCAAACTTCTTGCATTCAACAGATGGACCACCTTCGGTGGCAGCAGCCCCTTCGACGGCCAGCGGGGGCCAAGCTGGATTTGTGCACTCGTGGTGGGAGATATGGTTATAAAAGAGAGAGGATGGAAGCATAATGTTCAACGACAAGCACGGGCTGACCAAGGAGCTAAGAGACACAGTGTTAGTGAGATGGGCGCGGTTGCCCTTCGAGGCAGCTCCACACACTTGGTGCGAATGATTTGGAAGCTGGTCACGGCTACAAAACTGCTGGAGACAATGAGCCTAGTATCCACGTGTATGTGAAGCCCGGGGATCATCAACCACTAGCGTGTGATGAAAGAAGAATAGGTGGAAGCTTGTGGAGCAGCTGCTGGCCGTTGACGAGAGGAAGCACGTCCAACATGCGTTACATTTGAGTGTTTTGGGTAACAATGTCTGAACGTTGTGCCACTGAAACAGCACGTGTAGGGTGGTCTTCAGACAAGAGAGGGTTTGGGCCAGGGGCAGAGGGCACTTCGGATTTCGATGACCATTTACCATCCTCCCTAAAGCATAATGAGAGGATATGTATATTGAAGCTAGGTGATACCATCTTCCCCTGGATATAAGCCCCTTGGATGATTCCCGAGGCATCGGCAAAATGGGTGATAAAGGCATTTCTATAATCGTCCCACCCTCTTCTGAAGATATTTCTTATTCTGAATTGTAGTGCGAAAAATGTTGAAACCCATGCAGAACAGCTCAAACCAGTTGCATAGGATAAACCCTGAGGATCATATAATTGATTCGATTACCGTATAAGCCCCGCCCCATCAAATCCCCAAAAACATTTACTCCGGGTGATCTATCCGAGGAGATACGGTATGACTACACATGTATGTATTACCATATAATGCATTTCACCCAGCAACAATGAACGTGTTATTGGTTCAATATACTGTAGCTAAATCTAGTGGAACTAGGGGATTCATAATTTATGGACTGCTATGCTACTGCTGGAATACAACTGCTACCGTATTATTCCGGCTATAGGAACCGGGGGACTTTCTACAAATGCAAAAAAAAAATGCTAGGGTGGACATATAGTTGGCATACAGTTTTTAATGACCCAGGTGTGCTTATTTGTCTAACAATGTTATGGGATTTACCATGTACTGTTCGTTTTAAGGGGGGGGGGGGGGGGGGGGGGGGGGGGTCTTATATTCGGTAGCGAAAAACACCCCTCGTGTGGAAATCTCACGCGAGCGGCACGTCAGATTTGTGTCGAAATTCGCATCTGACACACAAAAACATGTCAGAATCGAAATATGACACATACAGCGTGTCAGAATTCGAAATAATGCCTATAAAAGCTGACGCGCAATTGCCAATTGCATTTACGACTACTGTATATAAAAAGGGGGGTCTTATATTGTTTAGGGGCAAAAGGGGGGTCCTCACATTTTGGTACCAAAATAAGAGTCCCAGTACCCCATAGAGAGTCCCGGGGGACCCTTTTACCGGCGGGTCCTATAGCCGGAATAATACGGTAATAGGAAAAACAATCAGGCATACACTTCAACGAAATGAATTCCAATGCATTATCTAAAGGCGCATCGTGCTACAAAAACCATTCTCGTATGGCACATGGTCCCATGGAAGTGTACAGATTACTCCTGCATGGCATTCCTGCACTAGCAAGTGATCTCAACACCCATGGACGCTTGCCGGGCAGCGAGGGCTCTCTTCGAAAAGAAGCAGCGCGTGGGGGGTCGATTCTTGAGGCGCCTCAGAAGATGTGGCAGTGAGAAGGCCAGCAACAGCGGTGGAAGGAGGAGCAACAGCAGGAGCAGGTTTTTAGGCGCCTGGAGATCAGACAGGATCACCCCCACAACGGTAGTGCCTGGGGGCTCAAAGGGGAATTTGGTGCCTGCAGGATGGATGAGGAGAGGGCGGGAGGCTGGGAGGAGCGGATGCACGCAAAGCAGGAGGAGCATTATGACGTGGGAGTGCAGTGGGATGTGATTATGGTTCACGTGATAGTAGAGAGTTTTTGAGATGCCTCGAAAACTCTCTACTATCATGAAGCAGGAGCATAATGACGTGGGAGTGCAGTGGACGGGATTAAGGTTCACAACGGTTCTGATGGAAATCGGGGCAGTGGGACTGGAGTTGATTTGCACTTGATAGAAGCCGGGATGTGTTACGGGCAGTGAGGTCTTGACTGTTGTGGGTGGGTGCATTGGCCCACAGAACAAACAAGCACAACCCCAATGGCAACTGCTGTGCTTATCTGGAACAAGAGGTATATGTATGGTGCCACTTGCCGGTAGGAGGATTCTTGATTCTGTCTAGCTGGTAGTCAGGATGGCCAGTAGGGCTTTGGATTATTGTTCCTGTGAGCAGGGCACAGCATGGTACACACAGTACAAAGCAAGATTTAGCGCGACAAGCTCGTATGGCAGGGTGGGCTGAACTCAAGGTGTTTGGGATGGTAAGAAACGGATGCGGAGGAAGAGTATGCGTACAGAGCCTCACAAAGGCGCAAGCACACACGACGCAGTTGTGGCTTGAGTGGAGGGAAAGAGGTCCGACATGTCAGCATACGTTTCCATTTTTTTTCTAATGGATAATAATCGACTCATTGTGGCAAGCGGAGGAGCACGAGTCACACCACCCAGCACGAGTCACACCACCCAGCACGAGTCACACTATCCAGCACGAGTCACACTACCCAGCACGAGTCACACTACCCAGCACGAGTCACACTACCCAGCACGAGTCACACTACCCAGCACGAGTCACACTACCCAGCAGGAGTCACACTACCCAGCACGAGTCACACCACCCAGCAGGAGCCACACTACCCAGCACGAGTCACACTACCCAGCACATGCCCACGGGCTGAACTGGCTAGGAGGCGTCGCTCGGCCACTCTCCCATGACCACTCTCCCATGACCACTCTCCCATGGCCACTCTCCCATGACCACTCTCCCATGACCACTCTCCCATGACCACTCTCCCATGGCCTACTGAGTCCCTTCCACGGGCCGGTGGAAGCCATGGGGCATATGGGGCATGTTGGCAAGCAGGCATGTTGGCAAGCAGGCATGTTGGCAAGCAGGCACGTTGGAAAGCAGGCATGTTGGCAAGCAGGCATGTTGGCAAGCAGGCATGTTGGCAAGCAGGCATGTTGGCAAGCAGGCATGTTGGCAAGCAGGCATGTTGGCAAGCAGACATGTTGGCAAGCAGGCATGTTGGCAAGCAGGCATGTTGGCAAGCAGGCATGTTGGCAAGCAGGCATGTTGGCAAGCACGAGCTAAGGGCCGAAAAAGGAAAAAGATATAACCATCAGCTAGTGAGGGCATTAATCCACAAGCATACCTTGAGGCACCGGCAGGGTATCGCGAGAGACGCACGTGCCAGCTGTAGTCCCTGTCGTGTACCCCTCATCACAGGTGCACTGCCCCACAGGTTCACAGTGGGGTGGCCAGAACTCCTCGTCTTCATCACAAGGAGACATGGCGTGAGACGGGTCCGGCACGAAGGAGCACATGCCATGCCCACTGCACGGGGAGGTAAGCCTCTGCTCTGTGAGCGGCTGCACTTGAAAGCCCACTTGCACCCCACAGAACGCCCGGCACTCGCTGTCACGCCTCTGGTTCAGCCCATAGCCGCAGCAGACCCACTCAAGGCAGTTGTGGGTGAAGAGGCACGCGCTGTGGCCTCCTGACGGGTCGTCTGGGTCTGGGCTGGTGGTGTTGAACGGGAAGGCGTCTGCTGTGGATGTGACGTAGTTGTAAGCAGCAGACAGTCTGTATAGCGATGTGAGGTGGGTGATGTGGTGGAAGGAGGGCAGCACTCCCGTAAGCTGGTTGTTGTCAAGGTGGCTGTGGGGCGAAAGAAGGCGGGATGTGAAGTGGCGGGAGGGGGAGTGATGGGAAAGGTGATGCGACAGGAGTAGCATGTACGTGTTGGGGCAGCACTCCCATAAGCTGGTTGTTGTCAAGATGGCTGTGTTGTGCGGGAGAGGGCGGGGCGGGAAGAGGTGAGAAGGAGGCGGAAAGGTGAGGAAACGTAGTGACGGGGAAGGGGGGTGATGGGAAACGTGATGCGACAGGAGTAGCAAGTGCGTGTTGAATGGGGTAGCTCTTCCGGTCTACGCTGTGTGGCATCAGCTTTTGCGTTGACTCAAAAGTCATCTCGCTGAATGGGGTACCTCTTCCGGTGTATGCTGATGTGACAGCAGCTGTGTGACATCATCTGTGAGTGTTGCGTCAGCGAATCCAATTTCAGCCCTGTGTGGGATCAGCTGAGTGAGTTAGTTCTGTGTGATTCCTCCCATAATACCTTTGGCGTGGACGCGACGAGTCGCTTCAGAGGAAGTATGATAAATTATGTTTTTAGAAGTCTCAAAAAACAGATATGGATTCACACAAACGATGGAAGTCATGGGAAGGAAGAGGAGAGTACATGGTGTTACGGCGAAGGGAGCACGGGACGGAGCGGAGCGGATGCCATTCGGTCGGAGCGGCGCGGATGCCATTCGGTCGGAGCGGCGCGGATGCCATTCGGTCGGAGCGGCGCGGATGCCATTCGGTCGGAGCGGCGCGGATGCCATTCGGTCGGAGCGGCGCGGATGCCATTCGGTCGGAGCGGCGCGGATGCCATTCGGTCGGAGCGGCGCGGATGCCATTCGGTCGGAGCGGCGCGGATGCCATTCAATCAGAAAGGTTGATGAAGATGACACCCTTCAAATTGCGGCCTTCAGCAAGCCAAAAGGAAGAGACGTGTGGGTGTGAGGGACCCTCAAACAGGAGCCATGACTCTGCAGAAATGTCTGTTGAGTGGACTCAGCAAGCAGCACCTCAACCACGTTTGCTGAGTGTGTTGGTGATCAGCAAGCAGCACTGTTACACAGTTACACAACCACGTTCTTTAGAATCTAGATTACTAAACAGCATTCTAGTTTATTCACAAATCTTGTGTGATTGTGGGTGATGGTCGAGGAGGAAACACTGACAGGTATGCGAGATTAGTGAGGATGGTGACTGAAGCAGGTATCGTCCCCGCAAGACGGTTTTTGCTGAGTTTCCTGAAGATGGGTGGATGAATGGACATGGAGGAAAACGAGAGAAGATGAGGGGAACAGAGGAATTGGTGACGAGGAAAGGAGACGAAGAGGGGAAGAGATGGAATGGAAGAACACAAGAAAAGGAGAACAGAGAGAACATGGGAAGGAGGCTGTTGTATTTCAGCTCCCTGCCATAATTTAACATGAGATGGGACGGCATGGGACGGCATGGGACGGCATGGGATGGGATGGGATGGGATGGGATGGGATGGGATGGGATGGGATGGGATGGGATGGGATGGGATGGGACGGGATGGGACGGCATGGGACGGCATGGGACGGCATGGGATGGGATGGGATGGGATGGGATGGGATGGGATGGGATGGGATGGGATGGAATGGGATGGGATGGGATGGGACGGGATGGGATGGGACGGGATGGGACCAGGCCCCTAGATTGGATTTAAATCAGGCTGACAACACGTGAAATTGCTCTGATAATCATCCAGAAATGCCATTTTACAAAGGAAAATCACTGTATCCCCCTGGAAAAAAGCCTGATATAAGTCCTGGCACAGAAAAAAATGCTGCATTAGTGTTAAATTTTTTGAAATCTGAGGGCCTCGATGGGACTGGATAGGATAGGATGGGATGGGATGGTATGAGATGGGTTGGAATGGGATGGTATGGTATGGGATGGGACGGACGGCCAGGCATTAGCCCATAAGGATACCTCCACTCGCTCACTCGCGCACGCAACCCGTCACTAAGTCACTCACTCTTTCATCCCCTCACCACTCACTTACTCACTCACCCACTACTCACTCACTCACTCACTCGCTCACTCACACTTTCACCCACTCATCACGTACTCGCCCACCTGCCCTTGGCCTCTCACTCTGCCACTCATTTGCTCCCATTTGCACTGGGGTGATTTTTGAGGCGCCTATAAAAAGAACTACCACGTCACCATTCACAACTCCCATACCTGCTTGAGGTTGCCAATTGCGTTGCGTCAGAGGTGACTTTTGAGGCGCCTAAAAAAGAACTACCCCGTCACCACTCACAACTCCCCATCATCACTCACAACTCCCCATCACCACTCACAGCTCCGATAGCTGCCTGAGGTGGCCAATTTCCTCTGGAATGGAGCCCGAGAGATTATTCTGGTTGAGGTCCCTGATGCATGATGAGGGGGGAGGAGGAGGGAGGGGGGAAGGGTGGCAAATGGAAGCGGGGGCATTGGAGGTAGCTTTTGAGTTGACTCAACCGCAGGTGGCCAATTTCCTCTCGAATGGAGCCCGAGAAATTATTCTGGTTGAGGTCCCTGGTGCATGATGAGAGGGTGGAGGGGGGTGGAGGGGGAAACTTTTATTGAGGCGCCTCAAGAGCCCGAGAGATCATTGTGGTTGAGGTCCCTGATGCATGATGAGAGGGTGGAGGAGGGCGGAGGGGGGAAGGGTGGAAAAGGGAAGCGGAGGCATTAGCGTGGAGGTAGAAGGCAGGAAGAACGATTATGGTTAAGAGAATGGAGAGGGGAAATCAGAAGTGGTGGATGGATGGACGGAATTAGTGAAGACATGCGTTTCCTTTTTCCAATGCACTCGCACATAACATACCTAGTGTTTATACCTAACCAAACGTTTACATGATTTTATGGTACATTTCTGCCAACAATGGAGGTAAAGGAGGTGTAAGGTGGAGGGGGATGGGAGTGAGGGCAGTAGGGAAGAAAGCGGGAGAGATGGGATGGGATGGGATGGGATGGGGTGGGATGGGATGGGATGGGATGGGATGGAACTGGTCGCACAGCTACAGCATAAGCTACAACTCCCCATCACCACTCACAACTCTTTCAGCTGCTTAAGGCTGCTGACTGCCTGTGGAATGGAGCCTGAGAGATTGTTGCGGATGAGCTTCCTGAAGCATGGTGATGGTGAGGGGTGGGCGGAGAGGGGAAGGGGAGGCACCCAATGCAGGGAGGTGCAAGGCATGCAGGGAGGGAGGTCATGATTGAGAGGAGTGAATGGAAAGTGGACTGCTGAAGTGGAGGATGGATGGGAGCAGTGCGGAGTTCTTATGTTCTCCACTACTTTAAAGTGGATCCAAGAAGTGCTTATGCTTGGATCCAAGCATTCTTGTCTGAGGCGCCTCAGTCATCTTTTGAGGCGCCCTCAGAAGTGTTTTCCACTTGTATAAAAGTGGATTCAAGAAGTGCTTATGCTTGCATCCAAGCATTCTCCTGCAACATGGTGGTGTCTTATGACACTGGGAAGTTCACAGGTGACCACTTCACAACGTGAAGTTCACAGGTAACTGGAAAGCATGTAATGTTGTGGTAATTTCCTACCGACAACTTAGAGATGGGAAGCTTAGGGCGTAGGGAGAACGGGAGAGAGGCGGGTGGAGGGGGAATGGGCGCACAAGGTGGTGAGTGCGGTGAGATTGCCTATGGAGGCCGGAATGGTGCCACTGAGACCGTTGCCTTCCAGCCATCTGCCATGTCGCCGCATGAGAAGGCATGGGATGGCATGAAAAGGCGGGATGGCATGGGATGGCATGAAAAGGCGGGATGGCATGGGATTGAAGCTGAGTACATACAGCGCAGCTCATGGAGGCCGGAATGGTGCCACTCAGACCGGTGCCTTCCAGCCATCTGCCATGTCGCCGCATGGGATGCCATGTCGTGGCATGGGATGCCATGGGATGGCATGAGAAGGCATGAAATGGCATGGGATGGCATGGGATGGCATGAAATGGCATGGGATGCCATGGGATGGCATGGGATGCCATGGGATGGCATGGGATGCCATGGGATGGCATGGGATGCCATGGGATTGAAGCTGAGATACAGCATATGTGGCAGCTACGCTGATGACAATGGGTGTATCTGTTGCATCCAATCCAAAGCACTGGGTAGTCAAAACAATGAGTCAAAAGAGCCACATCGCTGGAGAAGCTCCAGAGCAGAGAAAAAGGTAGCGAAGTTTTAGAGGATGAAGTGAAATTAGGAATCACACAAGAGCCACTGCAAAGGCACACGAAACTTTTGAAAAAGAACAGGAAACAGTGCAAATACAGTCCTTCTCAAGATTCACGGTTTGCAATGCTTTCGAGTCCGGTTGACCCATAAGGTGAGTTGTGGCATAAAAAAACAAATCCTTGCAGGAATCATACTGCACAAATATTGCAACTTTATCCAAAGCAAGGCATGTCAACAGGTGCACACATGAACCGATTTAAAGTCGGTTGCTTTAAATCGGGCAGCGTTCTTCCTTACATGAGTTCCAGGTTGGTGAGAGCTCCAATTGACGCGGGGATGGGCCCTGACAGCATTTGCTCCTCAAGGCATCTGTGATAATGCGCGGCACAATGCAGTGTGGGAAGGTTGATAACACACGGTCTCACATGCATTGGCAGTTCTTGCAGCACCAGCACTGCATGTGTATGTGACAGCAGTGCTTTGTGCGTTTTTTTTTATGAGAGCACATTGCCCCGTTCACCCTGCAATGCCATCGTTATGAATTCACTCACTCACTCACTCACTCACTCACTCACTCACTCAGCCATTCAGCCACTCATCCACACAAGCACTCTTACTTTCAAGCTATCACACCTGGTCATCCCACAGCACCTTGCACGCTGGCCCCATCACCACTCACAACTCCCCATTACCACTCACAACTCTCGTAGCTGCTTGAGGTTGCTAAGTGCGTCTGGAATGGAGCCTGAAAAGTTGTTTCCAGAAATAGTCCTTGTATATGGAGAGGGTGGGTGGAAATAATTAGAGAGAGAAGGCCAGGAGGGAAGGCATGGGTAATTGGAGAGAATGGAAGGGGGTAGATGGAAAGGGATTGGAAGGAGTGCGGATTTGTGAACTTTGAATTGAATGCTACTTATGAACTCAGAACATCCTGACGCGAACTAAAAGGGTATAATGGACTACATAAAAAATCATGGGAGAGACAAGGGCATGCATTTTATGGCTAAGAATGTTCAATCGGGCGTGGTGCACGGCATGGCAGGTGGTGCATGGGAGATGAGATGGTGCATGGCAGATGGTGGATGGGATATGAGATGGTGCATGGGAGATGAGATGGTGCATGGCAGATGGTGCATGGCAGATGAGATGGTGCATGGGAGATGAGATGGTGCATGGCAGATGGTGCATGGCAGATGGTGCATGGCAGATGGTGCATGGCAGATGAGATGGTGCATGGCAGCACGCACAGTAAAGACAAGTCTGTGAGGCTGAAGATCCACGCAGGCAGCTCCCCGGACAGGTGATGATGGCTCGTCACGTGCCTCAACAAGCGCGCAGTCAAGAGAGAGGGAGTGACCTTTGAGTCAAGAGAAGGAGCAGCCAAGAGGGAAGGAGCAGCCAAGAGGGAAGGAGCAGCCAAGAGGGAAGGATCAGCCAAGAGGGAAGGATCAGCCAAGAGAGAGGGAGGTGACTTGTGAGTCGACTCAAAAGGCAGCTCCTCGGACAGGTGATGATGGCTCGACACGTGCCTGATGATGCGCGCAGCCAAGAGAGCAGGAGCCAACAAGAGGCAAGGAGCAGTCAAGAGGGAAGGAGCAGTCAAGAGGGAAGGAGCAGTCAAGAGGGAAGGAGCAGTCAA